TAAATATATATATATATATATACACACTATAATATATATATAAATAATACACACACACACACACACATGCTTTTTATAAAAACCTGGAGCTTTTTTAAGGTTTGAAGAGACAATCTGTATTGTCTCTTCATGGCTCCAGTGTCTGGATCTAAATATCCAAATATCTGGGCATGCTGAGAATTAGATCTATTGATGAAGACTGGCAGGATGGTTCAACCCTTGAGCAGACTGGCTGGGAGGGGCCTGGCCTGCAGTTTGGAGAAGCTGGAAACCCTTGATTGAGACAAAATGCCTTCTCATGGGAAACGCTTTGTTAGAAGGAGCCCTGAATGCAGCACTGACGTTTTACTGGAGCACATGACGTCTTTTCATTTTAAGCCTTTGGGTTAGTGCCGTACGGCACATGATCTCTGGCTTTTAGTTCTAAATATATGGTTAACACAAATTGGTCTTTTAACGCTGGCTCAAAGTGAGATTCATAATTACAGCCGCTAAAGAGAGAAATCATACCCTTTAACATAAGCCAGCTTCAGAACTTGTGCAAATTCCTGTGGCATGACTTCTTTCTTTCTTTCTCTGACCTTTACTTACCATTCAGCTTTAACTGAAAGAAACTTTTTTTTCCCCTTTAGAAGAAAGAGCACCAATCTCAAAAGCCAGGAACCGCACCTCCCAGAGGTTATTCAGAGCTTGTTCGGTATCATGGACTGAGTGTTACAGAGTCAGTAACAGAGTCAGTAACAGAGATCTGCATTGAATTCCCTTCCCAGCCAGTCCCCATCTCTCAGCCCAATCTTCCTCACAAGGTTGTTGTGAGGATAAAATGCAGGGGGAGGAGCTATTTTTCTGCTACCACCCATTTGTCCCAGCATTCCCCTGATTCATTCCACATATAATAAAAGCAGAGCACCCCGAAATTCCATGCGATTCTACTTACAATGCTGCAACCGGGACAGTCGGGGCCGTTTTCGCATGCCCGATGGCGGGCCTGAATCCCTCCTCCGCACGGGGCTGTACAACGTTCCCAAGCGCCCCAGCCAGTCCAGAACATGTGCGGGGAGCACAGTAAATGCTCATTGCAATACCTAGGGGGAAATCATTTATTTATTTTGTGAATTTCTACGTCACCTCTCCAGGGAACTCACCAGAGGTGGCTTACAAAATAAAATGTAAGATAGAAAAAAAATACACCACACCATAAAAGTTGTTCATTAAAACCCGGCCAGAGCGTAAAAATGTAAAACATTAAGCAGGTTAAAATTATAAAATAACTCCCAGGGTAGAAGCAGACTATTAGAACCAGGGCTATTTTGGGACAGGAGCGCACAGGAACGGAGTTCCGGCTGGCTCCCAAGTTGGCCACGCCCAGCAGGAACTCATTAGCATAATAGGCCACACCCAACTCATTAGGATTGGCTACATTAGGGGTGTGTGGCCTAACATGCAAAGGAGTTCCTGCTACAAAAAAAGGCCCTGGGTTTTGACAACAAAAAGGATAAACAGCATAAGAAGCAAAAGGTGGGTGTGGCTGGATGAGCACACTTCTGGTAACATGGGGGTGCGGCCTAATGTGCTTATGAGTGGTGCAGTCAGGGGTGTGGCCTAATATGCTAATGAGTTCCTGCTGTTGGGTGTGGCCTATTATGCTAATGAGTTCCTGCTGGGCTTTTTCTACAAAAAGAGCCCTGAATTATGTTAAAAGATCAACCCCTTAATTAAAAGCCTGGATAAAGAATTAAACGTTTCCCCCCCCCAGGAGCCTAAAAGGGACCGTCATAGGCCCCAGGCAGACTTCAAGGGACGGGCATTCCCCAGGTGAGGTGCTACCACGGAAAAAGCCCTGTCGCTTGCCACTGCCTGCCTCACCTTTTCAAGCAGGGCTTGTGAGGCAGATGTTAACTGGTGGGCTGGACAGTATGGGAGGAGATGGCCCTTCATATACCCGGGCCCCAAAGCACATAGAGCCTCCAAGGTAAGAACTGGCTCTTTGAAGTGAGCTAGCGTGGTGTAGCGAGACCGAGTGTGGTACAGTGGTTAGAGTGACGGGCTAGAACCTGGGAGACCCAGGTCTGGATCCCCATTTGCGCCACGGAAGATCGCAGGGTGACCTTGGGCCAGTCACATGACTCTGAGCCTAAACTACCTTACAGGGTTGCTGTCCAAATAAAATAGAGAAGAAGAGAATGATGAAAGCCACATTGGGGGGGGGGAGATATAAATGAATACATAAATAAATAAGGTCAGCATTGTCTATTCAGACTGGCAGTTAGTATGGGGGGAAACCTGGAAACAGGATGATTATAGCGTGATGTCGTGTGGAAGCTTCCCCCATCCACCCCCCCCCAAAAAAAAACACGCTCCAGTTTGGAAAGCTTAACGGTAAAGGTAAAGGTTTCCCTTGCTCGAAAGCCAGTCGAATCCGACTCTAGGGAGTGGTGTTCATCTCCATTTCCAAGCCGAAGAGCCAGCGCTGTCCAACGACATTTCCATGGTCATGTGACCGGCATGACTAAACGCCGAGGCACATGGGACGCTGTTACCTTCCCACCAAAGTGGGACCTTTGGCAGGAGCTGGAACTCCTTCTTTTGAACTATGGTGCTGGAGAAGACTCTTGAAAGTCCCTTGGACTGCAAGAAGATAAAATCAGTCAATCCTAAAAGAAATCAACCCTGACTGTTCCCTGGAAGGCCAGATAATGAAACTGAAGCTCAAATACTTTGGCCACCCAATGAGAAGGGAGCACTCACTGGAGAAGACCCTGATGCTGGGAAAGATTGAAGGTCAAAGAAGACGGGGACGGCAGAGGATGAGATGGTTAGACAGTGTCATGGATGCAACGAACGTGAAGTTGAGCCAACTTCAGACGACGGTGGAAGACCAGAAGGCCTGGCGTGATCTGGTCCATGGGGTCGCAAAGAGTCTGACTCGACTGTGCGACTGAACAACAACAAATGTCACTTCCTGCTACCAGAACACTCCCTCCATCCCCCTGCCTGTAAGTCCAATGGACCTGGTAACGGTAGTGGGTAGGCATTTTTATTGTTTTTGGGTTTTTTTGGTATTGTAAGGCACTTTGGGTCCCCAGGGAGAAAAATGGGGTAGAAATCAATCAGTCAATCAAACACCAACATACATTGGGATGAGCTGCCTATTTTATTCTGCAAACAGCAAGCGCACCCTTTTGTCTGAAATAATCTCTACTGTATTCCTCTACGCACAGTGTTTTAGTTCAAGATCAATACAATGAGATTCACAAACATTCTTGACTATTTGCACCAGCTCAGCTAATTGCTTGTGGAGTGAAAAATAACAAGAGCGAGAAGCACCACTGCTTGCACGTCCTTCTCTAGCACACCTGATGCACATGAACAAATCTGCTTGAGTCAAGGGGTGATTTCCCACAAGCGCTGCTCCGCGCTCACTCTTCTCTTTGGCCCGATGGTATGTGTCAATTTCACACAAGCTGCTGCGCGGCTCCATTTTGCCTCGCAGCTTCGTGCGATTTTCCCCGCGTCTACTCAATCCTGTTTTTTGAGGACTGAGTAGACGCGGGGGAAATCGCACGAAGCTGCGGGGCAAAATGTGGGCACGCAGCAGCTTGTGTGAAATTGACACGTACCATCGGGGCAAAAGGGAGGCGTGAGCGCGGAGCAGCGCTTGTGGGAAATCACCCATTGTCTTCCTCAAGGCTTGTGATTACAGACATTTTTAAATGAGATGTCTTCAAGGCAACGTGGAGCTTCTTGAATGTGAAGCATGTTGGTGCCCCTTGTATCTGCAACTGAGATATGCTGCCAGTGCTGAAGCCTATTAACACCTACACTGATTTAAAACTAAGCGCTCACCCTGTTCTCCAGCAACGCTGTAACAAAAATGACGTACTGGTCTCTCAGATACAAGTTTATGTAGGTAATGAACGAAGGATGCCTTTGTGCATTTCTAGTTAGGGTGCTGAAGCGTGCTGAGTCTGGAAGAAGAAAAATGACAGACCAGGCCAACCTGCAGATTCGATCTCCCAACTAGCGAATATTCGCAGCTGGCCCCGAAATTTTGCCCCAGTGTCTTCAGATAACAGCACGTGTTACGGTGGCTCGGACCCTAAAGTCTTACATCTGCTTGCCCTGTGCCCTGCCTGATTCAGAGGCTGCAGGGCGCATTCCTCTGGCACTGGGTGCTTTTCAGATTATGGAAAGACAGTGGTCTTGCATTAGTGGAAGTGCCCATCACTTGCAGGAACATGCCTCTGCAGCTGGGGAAAGGTGCCGCATCAGCAAGAGACAGGATTAGGAAGGATTCAAGCTCATCCGACACGTCTTTCATTACTTTCAATTTTATTATAATTGGGTTGGGCAAGTGAGGAAAGGGCAAGTTTTATTGCCGAGAGAAGACAAAGCACATCTCAGTGCTATGCAAAAATCTCAGTTTGCACAGACACGTTATCCTCATCCACTGGGAGGTGGGGAGTGTGTCTTAGCAGAGAGCAGACACACAAATTTGTGTCATGCGTTGGGCTTCTCTTAACTGTGCCCAGTTGCAGTGCTCTGTAATTCCTTCTGATGGGAGAGAGAGACAACCATTGTCTTATACGGGAGGGGAAGAAAACAGCAGGATGGTGACTGTATTTCCCACCCACCCACAAACCCCAGTGACTCTGGAGAGCACATTTTGCCCCTCCACCAAGAGTCAAACCCACGGCCTTCTGCTTAGGGCTGACTACTCTGGATTGGGAAATACCTGGGGAGTAGAGAACTCCATGACATCGCTGAGCAGTCGAGTCAGAACAGATAAAAGGAAGTCTTCTTCACTCAAATTGTGATTAACACATGGAATTCACTGACACAGGAGGTGGTGGTGGCTACAAACATGGACGGCTTCCAGAGGGAATTGGATAAACATTTTTTTAAAAAAAAATTAATTTATTTTATATTCATACCCAGCCCTCCCCGCAAGCGGGCTCAGGGCAGCTTACAAGGGATAAACTTTTGGAGCAGAGGTCCACCAGGGGCTATTAGCCACAAGGTATAGGGGTTCTGGGGCAAATGATGCTCTGTATTCTTGGTGCCGGGGTGGGGGGTCAACAGTGGGAGGGCTTCTAGTGTCCTGGCCACACTGATGGACCTCCTGATGGCACCTGGTATTTTTGGCACTGTGTGACAGAGTGTTGGACGGGATGGGCCACTGGCCTGATCCAACATTGGCGTCTCTTATGTTCTTATTTGGTGAAAGGGAGAAAAATTGAGGAAAGGACTAAACATATGGATAAACATATGGAGCCACAAGGTATAGGTAGGAACTCTCAGTCTGGGGCAAGGGATGCTCTGTATTCTTAGTGCTTGGGGGGGGGCACAGTGGGCGGGCTTCTGGTGTCCTGGCCCCACTGGTGGACCTCCTGATGGCACCTGATATTTCTGGCCACTGTGTGACACAGAGTGTTGGACTAGATGGGCCACTGGCCTCATCCAGCATTGGCTTCTCTTATGTCCTCTTATGCACAGCCCAGGGAGGACGGGGTTTGGGGAGGGGAGGGACCTCAGGAGGATACAATGCCATACAGTCCAATCTCCAAAGCAGTCATTTTCTCTGGGGAAAATGGTATTGGTTGTCAGTTGTAATAGCAGGAGATCTTCAAGAGCTACCTGGAGTTTGGCAACCCTACTTCTGATTCTTTTCTTAATGCCCTTAACAGAAGCCACTGAAAATGACCCCTTGGAGCCAGTTCTCAATCACTCTAGCACAAGAAAGAGTTCCTCAAAACCTTATTGGAGCAACTCGGTGAAAGGACAAGCAAAGGCAAATCTTTTCCTGCAACGTGCAGCCACACCCCATTGGTGTCAGGCACATTTGCTATTGCCCTGAACCAGGGGTCATTTCCTACAGGAGCACACAGGAGCGGAGCTCCGGCAGTAGAGCCCAGGGGGCGGGCACATGCAACAAGCCCCACCCCCTGCTCCCAGCAGCCCTCAGTCAGAGCAAGAAGCAGCCAGGTAAGTTGCAGAGCCCCCCACCCGGCCCTCCCCTCCCAAACAGTCCAGTGGCACCTTTAAGACCAAGTTTTATTCAGGTACAAGCTCTCCCTCCTCTGTGAGGACAGATCTGCACGGTCCCCCCCCCCAATAGCTAGCAATCCAAAACAGTCTAGTGGAGCCTGAACGGTGGGTGTTGCCTTCTGACACACTTCCGGTGATGTCAGGGGGTGTGGCACATGCAAATGAGTTATGCTAGTGAGCTCCTGCACCTCTTTTGCTACGAAATGACCCCTGCCCTGAAGTAACCGAATGCCCACTGGATAACGTGCCCCATACTCTTCTTCCATGATGGTTCTGGGGCAGACCAGCAACAAATAGATGAGTCCAAGTTTGAAAACTTCTGCTCTAGTGTGTCTTATAATCATGGGAGCTGGCTTTCAGATACATAGATAAACAAGGCCCTGGAAACATTCCCTCGAGCTCTGTAGACCCCTTAGCATATTTAAGGGGTGAAAACGACCTCAGCTCACCAACCAAGACCATAGTGCTACGAACACATGGCTGACCAGTAGCCTGAAGACACTATAATCAATTTGTAGGGAGAGGAAAGGCTACCTGCGTGACTGATTCGGGCAGGGCTCCTTTTGTAGAAAAAAACCAGCAGGAACTCATTACCATAATAGGCCACATCTAACAGCAGAAACTCATTCGCCTATTAGGCCACACCTCTGACAGCACAGCTCATTAGCACATTAGGCCGCACCCCCACGTTACCAGAAGTGTGGTCATCCAGCCACGCCCACCTTTTGCTTGTTATTCTGTTTACCTTGTTTGTTGTCAAAACCCAGGGCCGTTTTCGTTGCAGGAACTCCTTTGCATGTTAGGCCACACACCCCTAATGTAGCCAATCCTAATGAGTTCCTGCTGTTGGGTGTGGCCTATTATGCTAATGAGTTCCTGCTGGGCGTGGTCAACTCGGGAGCCAGCCGGAACTCCATTCCTGTGCGTTCCTGCCCAAAAAGACGTGAAGCGAAGTGAAAATTGAAAGCGCAGCTGAGTTTTCATCCCCTTGGTAACAGCAGCAATGCTGCCAGCCAAGATAGCAAAAATGAGAGAAGCAGACAAGGAGGATACAAAGGAGAGGTTAATGAGAAAGATGAAATGAAAAGGGACACACACCAGGGGTGGGAGCGGGGGCAGGACAGGCACCCTACCGTTCTTCCCGGTTCTGTCCCACACACACACGGCCTCCATGCCGAGGGCTTGGGTTACTGCAGGAGCGCTGGCGGACTTGGAAGCCAATCCCACAGGAGGTGCTACAAGGAGACCAAGAAGTCCAAGGAGTCCAGCCTCCATTCCTGAAGGAATAAAAGAGCCAAGGTTGGAGCAAACATGCATTTGGAATCTGGAATTCAGTTTGGTGTCATGGTTAAGTGTGCGGACTCTGGGAGAACCGGGTTTGATTCCCCACTCCTCCACTTGCACCTGGCTGGATGACCTTCGGCAAGCCATAATTCTGTCAGAGCTGTTCTCTCAAGGACAGTTTTGGAAAGAGCTCTCTCAGCCCCACCTACCACCGATCTCCATTCCCCCTTCCCCAGTCTCCTCCCCCACCCCCTGCGACGAGGCCCGAGCGGCTTTCAGCTGCTCGGGCCTCCCCGATCTCCTTCTTCCCCTCCCCACCCCGGCTCTGGCGGTCTCCTCCTCCGCTGATCTCCTCCTGCCCCTCGGCTCCGGTTACCGCCACCGATCTCCTCCTCCCTCCCTCTTCCCCCCTCCCCCCTATATTTTTTTTCAACTTTTTAGATTTTTGTGCACACCTGGGGATGGATTTTGATATCCGCACGCAGGGGGCACCTTTGCTATTAGATATATAGATTGATTTCATATAAAATTCCATGCCAGCATAGCTGCTGAAAATTTCACATGCTCAGAAAATGGGGGGGGGGGATGATTTCAAAGTAGTGAACAAAACAACCTCTTATTGATGAATATATAAGTATTTTAAAAATATTCCTAGGATTATATTTCTCCACTGCTGGTGGTATTCTGAATTATACAAACTGTTCTGGGACTTGCGTGCCCTCTTATGAATGGATGCACAATTGCCCTCAGCAAACTAACTTTTAACATCTTTCAAGGGAGGTCAAGATATACCCCAGCTCCAACCATTTCAGATTTCAAGATGATCCACTACACGGTTAAATACAAAACAAAGCACCAAAAAAAAAATGTTTTGAAACCATTTGCCCAATGGCCAGAGCACGAATGGATCCCCTGAGTGGTAAACAGTGGGGGCTCTTGCTTTGGATTAGAGCTGGGGGGGGGAAGGAGAACTTCTTAGCTGCACACACATCATTTCCCCAAAGTAGCTGTCTGACCCACATGGGAGGCATACAGCAACACAAGGCCAGCTGCCTTCTTCCCCAATGGGGCATAAAACAGCTTCAGGGAAGCATTTGAGGTCAGGAGAATGATATGAAGGGAACAGGTTAACTGCTCCCAGAGACCTGATCTAACCCAGGGGCCTTGTAACTGATTTTTGTTGTTTTTCAGTCGCACAATCGAGTCCGACTCTTCGTGACCCCATGGACCAGATCACGCCAGGCCTTCCAGTCTTCCGCCGTCCTCTGAAGTTGGCTCAACTTCATGTTCATTGCATCTATGACACTGTCTAACCCTCTCATCCTTTGCCGTCCCCGTCTTCTTTGACCTTCAGTCTTTCCCAGCATCAGGGTCTTCTCCAGTGAGTGCTCCCTTCTCATGGGGTGGCCGAAGTATTTGAGCTTCAGTTTCATTATCTGGCCTTCCAGGGAACAGTCAGGGTTGATTTCTGGAAACCAGCTATCGCCTCCCCTGTCCTGAATGGAGTTGCAATCCCCTTAAGGGCACCAGTTCATAGCTTGGGGGTGCTCCTGGACCCGGGCCTCCTGTTGGAGAACCAGATGGCAGCTGTGGCTTCAGCAACTTCCAGCAGCTTTGGCTGGTAAGCCAGCTGAGAACCTTCCTGGGCAGAAAAGCTCTTGCCACTGTGATGCATGCCCAGGTTAACATCAAGATTAGATTACTACAATGAGCTCTACATGAAGCTGCCTTTGAAGACTGTCCAGAAGCTAGGGGCAAGGTTCCCTCTAAGCTGTGGAGTCTTGTGAGCAAGAACTCTACTTTGTGAGCTCCTGGCATTGAAGTTGTGAGCGAGTGATTTGGCCGCTGCATACATTAGTTTGCTCTGGAGCCCTCCTTCCTGAGCTAAGACAGAAAATGTGGGAGCCGGAGGCTAAAAAACTGTGAGCTAGCTCACACTCTCCTGCCAAACTAGCAGTTCGAAAGCAAGAAATTGCAAGTAGATAAATAGGTACCACTTTGGTGGGAAGGTAATAGTGTTTAGTCATGCCGGCCACATGACCACGGAAATGTCTTCGGACAGCGCTGGCTCTTCGGCTTTGAAATGGAGATGAGCACCGCAACCCTAGAGTCGGATTTGACTGGCTTTCGAGCAAGGGAACCTTTACCTTTACCTTTAGCTCACACTAGCTCAGCTTAGAGGGAACGCTAGCTAGGGGTGATACAGGATGCTGTGGCCACAGTGCTGACTGAAGTGAACCCCATCTTGTTCCACCTGCATGGGCTTCCAATTTGCTTCCAAGCTCAATTCAAGGTGCTGGTATTGACCTTTAAAGCCCTGTACAGCCCGGGACCAACACACCCTAAGAACCACCTTCTCCTGTATGAACCTACCTGTTCACTCAGGTCACCCTCGGAGCCCCTGCTTTGGTTCCCCCCGCCCTCTGAGGCTAGATGGGGGGGACCCAAGAAAGGGCCTTCTCCACTGTGGCACCAAAACTTTGGAATTCCGTCCCCCTCCATCAGTGTCTCACCTGCAGGTGAAGACTCTTTTGTTTTGCCTGACGGTCTACCCCCAATAACATTTATTGGCCCCCCTTCTAGTGTTGTTTGTTTACGCATTTGTAATTGAATTTAATCATTTTAATTGTGTTTAAATTGGTTTAAATATTTTTATGTTCGCTGCCTTGTCGACCCTGATAGGGTGGAAAGGCAGCATAAAAACGTTTTAAATAAGTAAATAAATAAAGCGGGGCTCATGACCACCACACCAATCAGAAGGAAGCTTCCCAGCCAATGCAAAGTCTTCTCCTCTTGGGCCCCCACGTACCTGGAGCAATTGACAATTTCCATGCTTGGCCCTTCACACGGCTGGCCTCCACAAGCCGGAGGTGGGTTATCACACGAGCGTGTCCTGCAAAGACAGACGCCCACGCTGGAGCCATCCACATGCGTACAAGGTTTCCACTCCGACCAGGATCCAAAAGAGCCGTCCACCGTCAAGTTCTTTGTCTGGAAACCGAGAGAGAGAACTTTTATCACAGATGATCCCATGATGTCCTGAAACCTGGCATGTTGACACTAGAAAGCTCGTATGAAATCTGAGCCCATTTGTACGAGGTTCCCAGTTCTCCCAAATACATGATTTGCTCAAGTGATGACTTGAGGGCAACTTTCCACGCTGTGAGCCACATAACGCTGCAGAGTCACTGTGTCTCTTCCCATTCCCCAAGTTTCCAGTAAAGAGAAAGCCTACGGCCGTACAGGCCGCTGCGGCAGGACTGGCGCTACCCGCGCCGAGCTATACGCAAGTCTCGGGGAAGAACAGGGGTCTTGGAAGCACCTGAGACCTCAAACCCCTCCCTCTATGCCCACAACGGGGCTGGAGAAATCCGGAGGAGAAGGGGTTGGGGGAACAGACTGGCACAGACCGCGTTCAGATGCTGAATAAAGGGGGGAGGGCCTGGTTGCAAGAGCGAGACAGGTGGACGGTCCCAACCTTACCCCTGAAAGGTGCAGATGCCGGGAACGCCAGCGTTGGCCCCATCGTACAGACCGGAAGTGGGAACTCCCTTACACGCCCAGCTCCGGGATAGAAGCACTGGGTATACAGGAAGGCGGGACTAAGAGGGGGAAGCACCATGAGATAGGAGATCATGGTGATGGACAGGTGGAATAGCCTATAGGCTTATTAATCACAAAAAGGGTGGAACACAGGGGAAAAGAGGGGATATAAAAGAAAGGAATTCAGACCCGATCTCCCGACCAACCCAGAGAGAGAAGGCAAAAACGGTCGGTCTGAGGAAGTTGTCTGGGGTGTGAAGCAACCCCCAGCACTTCCAAATCTGAGGCGCTCATTTCCTCTATCGAACGTCAACACAGCTACTGGGTTTTCAGGGCCTGGGGGCAACCCTGAGCGTGACACCTACGCATCCCATAATCACCCTCGGGGGCAGCTCCCGGCCACAGGAGGAGAAGAGGCACTGATGGGGATGGGAAGGGCCCCTTGTTTAGTGGACCACCACATGCTTGGAATGACAGGTTTCTCTACTCAGAAAGAAATAGGGCTAGGGGGTAGGGCTAGGAGCCGCCTTTTCCAGAAGTCTTGGAGAGTTGGTGGGCCACGGCGAGCTAGATAAACCAACTCTGTATAAGGTAGCGTCTCTGTTCAGCATCCCGGCCCCTCTCAGCAGCCAAATAACAACTGTGGGAGGGGAATAATCTAAATGAATAAATAAATAAATAGTGTAACAACATTTCCCCCTCACAAATATATAGAAATCTTGGTTATTGGGGAAGGAGGAGAAATAACAGGCTATAAAACCTCTGTCTGCTTACAATCCACATGGCAATTCCCCTAATGAACTGGTCGGGGAAAATAGATCCTGTACCGTCTGAAGAAGGGGACAGAAGGAAGTCCACATTTTATCCATAAAAACATGTGGAGAGATTTATAATGCATCCCCATGCAGCGTTATTCCAGCCTATGGCCATTGAAATCGACAAGTAACGGCGGAGGACTGCACTGTTAATTACACCAACCCACATGGTTTCACTTTGCTTTGCTAGTTTTTGGCTGGCCTCCAGATCCTCCGGTGCTACTAAATTTTCTTAATTAAAAGGCTGTTTCCCCCCCCCCCAATTAATGGTTCGTATTTAGTACTCGTCCATCAACAAGTCAAGTTTATTTTGTGATGCCTGTAATTGAGAACGCCGCGCATCTGATACAGCAACTTGGATTCTCATTATCGCTCCATTTTTCACAGACCAGGAAATCAGCTATTTCCGGTAAAATATATTGCTCTCGCTTTACTACAAAAGAGAGAGAGAGAGAGAATGAGACAGAGTAACAAGCTAGAGAAGGAATAAACTGGAGAGGCGCTAGACGACCAGAAGAGCCATGTGGTGCAGAGCTCGCAAGACTGGACCACTTCACTTAGCAAGTGGGAGAATCGTATGTCTGTATGTTCATTGGTACAGAAAACATCCACTTCCAGCATACAGAAAACGGACATATCAGCTTAGCTTTCCCCTCTGACATGCCAGCACCGTTACAGTGTAGGATCAGGGCCGGGGAGACGCGGGGTTGAATCCCCCCACTCTGCCACGGAAGCTGGCTGAGTGACTTTGAGCCAATTGCACACTCTTAGCCTGACCTACCTCACAAGGCCGTTGTGAAGACAAAAGGGAAGAAGGGAAGGATGGTGTAAGCCACTGGGGAGAGTTGTGGGGTTATAAGTGAAGCAAAATAAATAAATAAAAATGCAAACTTTCCACATCCATAGAGTTTTGCCATGAGAGGAACCACTCAACTGTGAAGATAGATGCAGGTGGTCAGCCGTGTTGGTCTGAAGAAGCAGAACCAATTTAGTCCAGTGGCACCTTTAAGACCAACAAAGGTTTATCCAAGGCTTGAGCTCTCGTGGTGTGCTTTGAAAAAGTGTGCATGCACACTCTCGTGTGTACTTTGAAAAGGCGTGCATTCCCACAAAAGGTTATACCTTGAATAAACCTTTGCTGGTCTTGAAGGTGCCACTGGACTCTGAATTTGTTCCACTCAATCATGTGTCAGCAAGCTGCCAATGTATTTTTCTTTGCTCTAGTATAATATCTATCTGTTCCCTATGTATGCGCATGTCTGCTTTCACTTTACCATGTATGCCTGGTGAAGCGCTTAATTGCCTAGTTGCAGGAACGTTCATATCTCTCAAGGCCGCAGGGGGTTGATGGCGAGGAGTAGCTTGGGTGATCTCATGGCCTTATCCATGAGAAGCAATTATGTTATGCTTACCTAGAAACGTTGCTTCCCAGGCTCAATGGCGCGTGCGGGAAACCCCGCAATTGGGCCTCCGCTATTTGAACTTACTATAATCATTTGGATTCCATGCTTTAGCCTCGTTCTGAACAGTGATCCTGTTATGCATCTTTGGCTTCAAATAAAGTAAAACCTTTTCTTCAAGTGTGTACTTCATTGAATGCTGGGGAAGTCTGACACCATGAGGTTCCCTCACTTGCATTTTGAGTGGCACAGTCCCACGGTTTTTAATATCTGGCCACCAACATCTTCTCCTCCCCTGAGTCACAATCCAGAATCATGGCAGTATCAGGGTTTCTTCATCCTTCCCATTGGAGGGAAACGTGTGCCCGGAAAGTCGCTTCCCCACCACATTTGCTGAGTGCTTCCATCTCATCGGGGAGAACAGGAAGGGCTTGCATGCCTAGGATTCACTGTGTGCAACTGGAGCTGCTGGATCGTGGCCATCGTGCCCTGAACTTATTACCAGCTGTCTTACATACCAGCTGTCTCTGGGCTCAGACAGCCAAGGTTCATCCAGCCATTCAACACCGACAACAGCTGTGCCGTAGTCTGTAATCTGCAGATACAATGGCTGTATCTAAAAGCCTGGTTTCCTGCCGCCATCATGATTTCTTTAGGTGCTTTATGAAAATAGTCTCACTTTCATTTTTTTGCTGTTCCATTTAATGCACACATATATGGCCCAGAAAGAAGCCGAAGGGAAAGCATCTCTTTAAAGAGCCTCCGGTGAAGACGCCCTTTTATAGATGCTCATCGGAAGTTTATCCTGAAGCATATTTTCTAACAGATCACACTGGAACTTCAAACCAGTAGAAATATGAGCTTTTACTGCACTCCGTGGACACATCCGCTGTAACTCCCTTGCTGTTCCAGATCAAGAGTATCATAATGAACCAGTTCAATCCTAAACAGAGTTGCTTTGACTTCAATGGACTTAGAAGGACGTGACGCCGCTGAGAACGGTGCTGTAATCCCTGATTCCTCTCCCCTGTTCAGTGCATCAAGCAAACCACAAATGCAAAGGTCATTCCTGTTGTCATCATTGACAATCTGACACCCTGACGGGACTGTCTCTGATCACCAATGCCGTGTACCTCCAGCTTTGCACAGAAAAGCCATCTCCTCTGCCTCTTTATTAACTGCTTTGCCACTGGCGTCCATGCAGAACTCTTTCTAAAATTTAGAGTCACACCTTTAAGACCAACAGAGGTTTATCCAGGGCTTGAGCTTTCCTGTGCAAGGCACGGTAGGCCAAATACGTCAGAAAGGCAGGCAAGGTTCAAACTTATAGCCGGACAATGAACAGCCAATTAACATGCAACGTGATGATGATCGAAATATGCAGAGTGACAGACTAAGAGTATACTAAATGAAATATATACCTGTTAGGATGATAGAGATAGAAAAGTTGCTTACACAGCTCATGAGAAATTGTTATTAAGGTGGAATAGGCACCAGTATAAATAGTGGTAAAAATTGAAAATAACCTCCATGTATCTGTTTGTACTGTTTGTATGTATGTATATGTATGTATATGTTATGATTGTTTGTGTGTGTTGTGTGGAAAATGTAATAAAACCCTGCCCCTTTGGGGGCAGTTTAAAAAAAAGAAAAGAAATATGCAAAGTGACACTAAATGTATTTTAATGTATTTATTTGAATATATTTTAGCATAATGTCTGAATTCTAATGTATTTTAGTATATTTCTTTTTCAGAATAGTATATTAGAACACTGAATGTATGCAAGGGATATTAGGATGTCTGCTGAAATAACAGCATTTTCTGGAGGGGGAGGTAGTATTAAGTGCCCTCCACGCCTGACAGGAGAGAATGAAGATTCCCAGACACTTCCCACAATCAGAAAAGACACCTTTAGACATTTATCTGCTAGTCTGACATATTTACAAGAACTTGTGGGCACTCAATGAAATTGCTGAGCAGTCGGGTTAGAACAGATTAAAGGAAGAGCTTCTTCACCCAAAGAGTGATTAATACATGGAATTAACTGCCACAGGAGGTGGTGGCGGCTGCAAGCATGGACGGCTTCAAGAGGGATTTGGATAAACATATGGAGCAGAAGTCCATCAGTGGCTATTGTTGTTGTTCAGTCGCACAGTCGAGTCCGACTCTTCGCAACCCCATGGACCAGATCATGCCAAGCCTTCCAGTCTTCCACCGTCCTCTGAAGTTTGCTCAACTTCATGTTCACTGCATCTATGACACTGTCTAACCATCTCATCCTTTGCCGTCCCCGTCTTCTTTGACCTTTACCAGTAGCTATTAGCCACAAGGTATAGATAGGAACTCTCAGTCTGGGGCAAGTAACGCTCTGTATTCTTGGTGCTCGGGGGGGGCAACAGTGGGAGGGCTTCTAGTGTCCTGGCCCCACTGCTGGACTTCCTGATGGCACCTGGTATTTCTGGCCAATGTGTGACACAGAGTGTTGGACTGGATGGGCCATCGGCCTGATCCAACATTGGCGTCTCTTATGTTCTTATGAATTGGATCAACATATGGAGCAGAGATCCTTCAGTGGCTATTAGCCACAAGGTATAGATAGGAACTCTCAGGCTGGGGCAAGTGATGCTCTGTATTCTTGGTGCTTGGGGGGAGGGCAACAGTGGGAGGGCTTCTAGTGTCCTCCTGGCCCCACTGCTGGACCTCCTGATGGCACCTGGTATTTTGAGCCACTGTGTGACACAGTGTTGGACTAAATGGGCCATTGGCCTGATCCAACATTGGCTTTTCTTATGTTCTTATGTTATAACTGTTGACCCTATAACCTTAACTTAGTGTCACTTTGCACATCTCGATCATCATCACGTCGCATGTTAATTTGCTGTTCATTCTCGCTAGAAGTTTGAACCTTGCCTGCCTTTCTGACGTATTTGACGAAGCGTGCCTTGCACATGAAAGCTCACCCCTTGAATAAACCTTCGTTGGCCTTAAAGCTGCCACTGGACTCTAACTTAGTTCTATTGCTTCAGACCAACACAGCCGACCACCTGGATCTTTCTGAAATGTTACGGCATGAAGGGAGAACATAGGAACGCATGAAGCTGCCTCGCGCTGAGTCAGACCTTTGGTCCACCCAGGCCAGTAGGGCCTACTCAGACTGTCGGGGGGTCTCTCCAGGGTCTCAGGCTGGGTTCTTTTAACATCACCAACCACCTGATCGCTTTAGCTAGAGATGCCAGGGATTGAACCTGGGACTTTCTACATGCCAAGCGGAAGGTCTATCGCTGAGCTGCAGCCCCTCCCTGACCCCATTTGGTCAGACCCTCCCGTCTCCATGCACTAGCTTGCCAACAGCAAGTGCCTTTCTGGTGAGGGTCTTTCTGAAAAAACCCTCCTCCCCTCCTGAGCTGGTGGAGATTGACTGCTTATCAAGGCTCTTTTTGTAGAAAAAGCCCAGCAGGAACTCATTAGCATAATAGGCCACACCCAACAGCAGGAACTCATTAGCATATTGGGCCACACCTCCTGCCAGCAGAGCTCATTAGCACATTAGGCCACACCCCCATGTTACCAGAAGTGTGGTCATCCAGCCACGCTCACCTTTTGCTTGCTATTCTGTTTACCTTGTTTGTTGTCAAAACCCAGGGCCTTTTTTTGTAGCAGGAACTAGGCCACACACCCCTAATGTAGCCAATCCTAATGAGTTTCTGCTGTTGGGTGTGGCCTATTATGCTAATGAGTTCCTGCTGGGCGTGGCCAACTCAGGAGCCAGCCGGAACTCCGTTCCTGTGCGTTCCTGCCCAAAAATAGCCCTGCTGCTTATCCCGTGGAGTGTGCAGAAGCGACGGTGCTGACTCACGCGGCTTCTCCCTGTTCTGAATGTCAGGGTAGTGGAAGCGCGTCTAATGATGCCATCCACAATAGGCTAGTGCTGAACTATATACAGTGGTTTTATTTACAATAATATACATACAGTCCAAGTTAGCACTGGTAGACTCCAATTTTTCAGGCAGACTAAAAAATGTGCTTCGCGAGGAATCCAATTCATAAGAGTGATGAATCACATACAGAGTGCACAGAATATATACCATGAAGCACCAATCCCATTGAAGTGCTGACTCACTGCGACTCCTGTGAGAATAGGGCTGCCAAGTGCGGGCGGGTAAATCCCTGCTTCGGAGGCCCAATTTCTGCTGCCGCAGAATCGGGCCCCGGGGGGAACTCCGCCCCCCGAAGCGCAGCGTGGCTGCGTCACCAGAGGTGACGCAACCACGTCAATTGCGTTGGGGGCGTGGCCCCAATAGTCAGAGGGAAAACTCTGGTTTTCCCTCCGACGATCGGGGCCACGCCTTCAACGTGATCGACGTCGCGCGGCACTTCCGGAGATGTGCTGGCAGCGCACGCGCGCATTGAAGGACAGCTCCCGGAGCCCAGCAAGGCTCCCCCCGCCGGTAAGATATTTTGACTTGGCAACCCTATGTGAGAATGACGCAACATTGATCTAGTGACCTGTCACATGACACTACTTCTGTCACCTTCAGATCAAGATGATCTAATGGACTCACATCACCTGGCTGTCATCTTGCCTGCAATACATAACAGTATGCTGACACTGAAGCCCAGCGAGAGAGAGAGAGAGAGAGAGAGCCCCGTGGAGACAGCCACCGGTCTTCTCTGTGGGGTGGAAACAGTGGGCCGGGCAGACACCCTAGGGAGAAAGGTGCACCCTGGGTAGGCCAGCAGGATGGCCTCATGAGAAGCTCTGCTGCCAATGGCAATGGAGCCTAAGCATCTCCTGTTGCCAAAAGGGACTGGGCAGCCTAGTGAGAGACTGTTGGGTTGCCAAGAAGATGGGAACACCTTCGATAGATCCCACAAGAAGCGAGGTGGTCACTGGAAGACTCAGGGTGGGAGACTCTCTTACAGCAGAAGAAGAAGGAGAAGGAGGAGGAGGAGGAGGAGATTGGATTTATATCCCGCCCTTCACTCGGCGTCTCAGAGCAGCTGACAAACTCCTTTCCCTTCCCCACAACAGACACCCTGTGAGGAAGGTGGGGCTGAGAGAGCTCTCCTCAGAACTGCCCTTGAGAGAACAGCTGCAAGTGGAGGAGTCGGAAATCAAACCCAGTTCTCTCCAGATTAGAGTGTGTGAAGAAGAAGAAGAGGAGGAGGAGGAGGAGGAGGTGGAGATTGGATTTATACCCCGCCCTTCACTCGGAGTCTCAGAGCGGCTTACAAACTCCTTTCCCTTCACCTCCCCAGAACAGACACCCTGTGAGGTAGGTGGGGCTGAGAGAGCTCTTTCGAGAACTGCTCTTTTGAGAACAGTTCTGACAGAACTGTGGCTTGCCCAAGGTCATCCAGCAGCTGCAAGAGGAGGAGTAGAGAATCAAACCTGGTTCTCCACGATTAGAGTCTGCACACCTAACCACTACACCAAACTGGTGAAGCTGGCCAAAGAGCAGAGCCCCCCCCCCCGTGCTCTCACCTGAGCTAGAAATGAACCCGGGGAGAAGGGGAAAGACGGCCGGGTGCTTGTAAATCTCTTCCTTCCAGCTGAGAACCTTTGTGGCAGCTGATAGGGTGTGCACATACACCACCACTGTCTATTCTCAAGTCCCCCAATATTTGTAAAGGCTTTGAGGGAGGGAGGGGATGGGTCTGTGGTAACCGTGAAATTATGGCCAGTCAAACCAAAATGTGCAGACCCCTGAGACCAATACAATCTCCCTTCTCCCTTATATATAAAAGCCAAATGGTGGTGGCACTTCTCTAGAACATTCCACACGCTCTGGAACTGGTTGGCGCCCTGGTGTGTCACTCAAAATCTGTCCCTATCCACAGGCTGCATTGCTTGAGTCTCGCCTCCAACATTCTAAACAGTTTGCTGTTCCTCCCCCCCCCCCATAGCCAGTCAGAACACAGAGGTTATTTGCATATGCAGCCTCATTGGCCTCTGCCTCGGAACACAGAGGTCACTTGCATATGCGACTTGATTGGCTTTTACCTCTAACATTCTAAACAGTTTGCTATTCTGTTCCATTAACAACCTTATTTTGTCTGGTAAATTACCTCATACATTAACAAGTTATATCTTTTTACATTTTTTCCACCTTGTATTTTGGACAATATCCTTGTTCCTAACTAAAAAGAAAAGGAAGTTATAGCTCATATTCCCTTGTGCGAGGTGCCAAGGATTGAACCCGGGACCTTCCGCATGCCCAGCAGATACTCTGCCACTAAACCACAGCCCCTCCCTACATGCCAGTATGTCCCAGTGACTCACCTAACACAACAGCGTATTTTTATATGTGACACATTTAACTCAGAGGACAAATTTAACTATCCATATATATGTTCAGCTTTACAACAGAGGGGTACAAACAGAGGGAAAGGTTAAGCTAGTAACACAAACGCGAGAGCGCAAAAGCTTCAACCTATGTTAAAGGTAAAGGTAAAGGTTCCCTTGCTCGAAAGCCAGTCAAGTTCGAATCTAGGGTTGCGGTGCTCATCTCCGTTTCAAAGCTGAAGAGCCAGCACTGTCCGAAGACGTTTCCGTGGTCATGTGGCCGGAATGACTAAACACCGAGGCGCACGGAACGCTTTTCCCTTCCCACCAAAGTGGTACCTATTTATCTACTTGCAATTTCTTGCTTTCGAACTGCTAGGTTGCCAGGAGCTGGAACTAGAGACGGGAGCTCACTCTGTGATGCGGCACACTCGGGTCTCGAACTGCTGAACTACTGACCTTCCACAGCCTGCAGTTCAGCGCCTTAATCACTTGAGCCACCGCAGCTCAACCAACGTTATATGAGTATAATTAATGAACTTGACTAATCTGAGTGTCCCTTCAAGGGTCACAAGGACACGAGAGGGGTGCAAAGAAGATGAAGGATCATTCTGGAACTTACCGGACACATGGCGATGCTTTGCTCCCACTGGCTCATGCTCAGGCTTTCTTCTAGTGGCGTGCATTTCTTCAGTACCTGATCCCAGCCGCAGTAAGGATCCTGGGATCCGACACACGTGCTGAAAATCCAAACCCAAAACATCAGACTGCAGTATGATAATCCACACGTCTGTACTTGGAGAAATGTCGACATTTCTTAACTGGACAAGAGGGTGGAGGGAGAGATGAGTGAGAAGTTTCCCCTTTCGCAAGGCCTACCCACCTCCTTCTCCTCCCCATCCATCAGGAGAAGCAAAGGCCTGGCTGTTGCAACCATGACCTTCCGTCCCTGTTCCTCCAAAGTGAACATAGCCCCCGAGTGCTGAGCCAGCGCGGCAGAAACCTGTCCTCCTTCCCCAATCCTGAAGCTGAATGTGGGGATAAAGTTGTAACATCCAGAGATTGAGAAGGCAGAATTGGACAGCTCAAAGGTGGCACTTGGGGCCACATGGTATGTGTTGATTTAAGAAAGCGAGAGAGAGATCTTGGGCCTATCCTTCTCTCCATTGCAGAAGGATAGCTCACTTTTCTATGTGTTTTAAATACACACAGGGCTTTTTTTGTAGAAAAAGCCTAGCAGGAACTCATTAGCATAATAGGCCAAACCCAACAGCAGAAACTCATTAGCATATTATGTCACACCCCTGACAACACAGCTCATTAGCCTATTAGGCCACACCCCCATGTTACCAGAAGTGTGCTCATCCAGCCACACCCACCTTTTGCTTCTTATTCTGTTTACCTTGTTTGTTGTCAAAACCCAGGGCCTTTTTTGGTAGCAGGAACTCCTTTGCATGTTAGGCCACACACCCCTAACGTAGCCAATCCTAATGAGTTTCTGCTGTTGGGTGTGGCCTGTTATGCTAATGAGTTCCTGCTGGGCGTGGCCAACTCGGGAGCCAGCCGGAACTCCGTTCCTGTGCGTTCCTGCCCAAAAATAGCCCTGAATACACGTTTGTTATGCCTCTCATGCAATCCCACAGGAAATGAATGGACGTTATGGGCTGTTATGCTGTTGGGTGTGGCCTATTATGCTAATGAGTTCCTGCTGGGCTTTTTCTACAAAAAGAGCCCTGGTTTTTAGTACTAAAAATACTAAAAAAAAAAAAAAATCCTCCTGGTAATTTTAGCCATTTGTATAGATCTCTGGAGAATGAATACATTGCCCACAAATATCCTATTGCTGAGGGTAGACAGTTTTTAGGGATGCAAGGTTTTTATTGGGGGGAAAAAATCAATCAACCAAGCTTCTATTGATGAATTGGTAGGACTGCCTGTTGGAAGAACACATCTGGGGGGTATTTTGATTCTGGCACATTACAGCAACAAGGAGCGAAAAAGGAAAACAATGGCATCCCCTTCCAACAGCGCTGTGGTTTTCTGCAGATTGAACTGCAAGGTATATTTACACTTTCAATATTTCAAAAGCAGGCCTACACTGAAGTCTCAGAAATACGGGCACTTATTTACATTTAAATAAAGTGGCTAAAAGACGGATGATTAAAAGGCACACAATGTTTAAATTTATGTTGTCAGAGGCTTTCTTGGCCGGAGTTCATTAGTTGTTGTAGATTTGCTGGGCTATATGGCTGTGGTCTTGGCATTGTGGTACCTGGCGTTTCGCCAGCAGCTGTGACTGCTATCCTCAGAGGTATCACACAGAAAGATGTTTCCATTTCCTGATAGTCCTAATAGTAAGATAATTGTAGCCTCTGAGTTCAGTCGAGTCAGCTTTTCAATTGCTGACAAGAGTTAATAAGGAGTCCACTTGAGAAACTCCCAAAAATGCTGCTCTGGGGATTGTGGAAATGTTATGGATGAAAGCAGGGGTCATTTCGTAGAAAAAGAGGTGAAGGAGCTCATTAGCTTAACTCATTAGCATAACTTATTTGCATATGCCACACCCCCTGACATCACCGGAAGTGTGTCAGAAGGTGACACCCACCGCTCAGGCTCCACTGGACTGTTTTGGATTGCCAGCTATTTGGGGGGGGGGGAGGAACGTGCAGATCTGTCCTCGCAGAGGAGGGAGAGCTTTTACCTGAATGAAACTTGGTCTTAAAGGTGCCACTGGACTGTTTTGGGCCGGGGGGGAGGGCTCTGCAACTTAACTGGCTGCTTCCTGCTCTGACTGAGGGCTGCTGGGAGCAGGGGGTGGGGCTTCTTGTATGTGCCCGCCCCCTGGGCTCTTTACTACCGGAGCTCCGCTCCTGTGCGCTCCGGCAGGAAATGACCCCTGGATGAAAGGCATGTGGGATGGGGAGCCAATAGTAAAGAGGGGAATTGGACAAGACTGAGAGGAAAAGCTGACTGGATCCGGCCCTTTGCTTTCTCCTCCAAGGGATCATTGGATTTTGCACTTCCCTCGAAGTAAGTCAGCCAGGCGGCTCCACAGACCTGCGTGTTTTGTGGAACTGGCATCTCTTCAGCGGGATCTTCACGACGCTTCCCTGGAGGCCCACGTAGAGAGCACTCCGGCTGTGCGAAATCTGCAGGCTCCGGATGGGCTCCCATTGCTTCTCTGGGAAAATCTCAATCTCCTCCAACAAGCAGCTGCTCGCTGTCTGATTAACGGGAGCCAGAACCTTCTTGATAGTGCCGTGGTCTGTAAGGCAAGGGAGAAGGTCGTAAGAATCTGACACACAAAGCTTGCTAGACAAGTACGCTTTTACTCACAAGTCCTTCGTCATTCGAGCGAAATCATCTATCCACTTTGCCTTAGAAGATCAAATGAGCCGTGGTGTAGCACACAAGGAAGGAAGCAGGCAAGCTGCCCACGGGAGGCTGGGGGCTGGAAGGAACCATCCCTTGTATCTCAAGACATACTGTTTCTCAGGGCTCTTTTTGTAGAAAAAGCCCAGCAGGAACGTATTAGCATAATAGGCCACACCCAACAGCAAGAACTCATTAGCATATTAGGCCACACCTCTGACAGTGCAACTTATTGGCATATTAGGCCACTCCTCCATGTTACCCGAAGTCATCCAGCCACACCCACCTTTTGCTTGTTGTTCTGTTTACCTTGTTTGTTGTCAAAACCCAGGGCTTTTTTTGTAGCAGGAACTCCTTTGCATGTTAGGCCACACACCCCTAATGTAGCCAATCCTAATGAGTTCCTGCTGTTGGGTGTGGCCTATTATGCTAATGAGTTCCTGCTGGGCGTGGCCAACTTGGGAGCCAGCCGGAACTCCGTTCCTGTGCGTTCCTGCCCAAAAATAGCCCTGCTGTTTCTTGCAACCTCTTTAGAGCCATTCTAGACTCTCAGAGCAACACCAGTTAGAATTTGAACTCAGAGAGAGAACACCAAGAACATGTATCTGTTCCTCCCATAACATGGAAGCTGCAGATAGATCAAGGTGGGTAGCAACAGAACAAAGTTGGAGTCCAGCAGCACCTTTGAGACCAACAAAGTTTTATTCAAGGTCTGAGCTTTCGTGTGCATGAACACTTTGTCAGATGACGAAATGGAATCACATATCATAGGTCCCGGTCACATGAGCGGGATGATCCGCTGCTGAAGGGAGGCAAATTAGAGCCGGAGCAAAAAGAGGGTTGCCAGGTGCCTCCTGGCCACCGGCAGGGGACGCGCGCAATGTTCCCTCTAAGCCGTGGAGTCTTGTGAGCAGAAATTCTACTTTGTGAGCTACTGGCATTAAAATTGTGAGCAAGTGATTTGGCTACTGCATAAATTAGTTTGCTCTGGAGCCATCCTTTCAGAGCTAAGACAAAAATCTGTGAGCTGGAGGCCAAAAAACTGTGAGCTAGCTCACAGTAACTCAGCTTAGAGGGAACACTGCCCCCGCAGCTCCGTACTCTGGCAGCTGATCACACGTTGTGCAGCAAACTGGCAGTAGCGCGGTTGTGCACATGTGTGGGACGGGGAACAGTGCTGGCTGTGATGGGTTACCAGCGCTTCCCCGACCAGACCCCTGGAGTTGCCGCGCATCATCCGTAAGGTAGTGCTCAAAAGGTAGTACCTTTTAAATGCGCTTTTTTCAGGCCGAAGGGCCAGATCAGTGACGGGTGCGTGACACTTCCCAAATGTTGCAGTGTGATCGCGCCCGCTTGATGCGCCCCCAATCCGTCCCTCTTGCAGGGCAAATCCTCCCGTGTGACCAGGGCCATAGTTGTATATATAGGAGTGGTTTGTTAAATTAGCATGCAAAATAGTGAGGACATTTTTTTTAACAGATCAAAAGAATGACAAGATTGGTTCCTGGTTATCATCTGTGGGGGGGGGGGACAACATAGGTAATAAATATGTTAGAACTGGAGATTGATGTGCCCTAATTTGTGAGAATCCCATCCTTAGACCCCCATCCATCTCCTTTCAAGCATGGAGGTGAATTTTACAGCATCTTAGCTGTGTAGAGTGTTTTCCTTGTCCTCCAAAGAACTGCATTTAAATCTACCATTCCAAATTACATTACATATTCAGTTATATTCTTAATTGCTAAGAGTAGTAATAATGCTTTGCTTCAATGAAACATGGAGTTAACTGGCAGAATCCTTTTCTTGGGGGTAATGTCAGAGATCGACAAGATATTGCATTGCATCACAATCACTATTATAATATACTATCTCAAAAAAAGAAAAGAAAAACATCAAAATAAAGAGGATGTATAGCCCTTCTTGGTGAGAATACATACATGAGGACTGAATGCGTTAGCATGTGTAATGGGATAAGAAACCAATATCCCTGTTAAGTCCCGGTGGGGTGTTTGTTCCAAGTGTTGCAATAACTTGTAATTCAGCTATTTCCCTTTCCATTCTGTTCCTGAAGTTCTTTTGCAATTAAACAGCTACTTTGAGGTCAGCCATTGAATGTCCTGGAAGGTTGCAGGTTTGGGCAGCCTCCATTTGCAGTGGTACCATGCACTTCGACTCAGTTCTGCTATTCAAAAACAGCCCCCCTGCTTTCTTCTTAGCATTTTAAGAGGGTGGAGGATGTGTGTTTTTAAAGCCATACCTCTTGTCTTTAAAATGCCAACAACAGAGCAGAAGGGCTAGTTACGAATAACACAACTGAACAGTGGGTGATGTTGTTAAACTCCCTCTCCCTTCACTGCATGCCTGAGGCAAAATAAGGTGGCACAAGCTTGCAGTGTGCATTTATACTCACTCTCTGTTTCCTGTGAATTAACCAGTTTTTAGAGAGCCAGTTTGGTGTAGTGGTTAAGTGTGCGGACTCTAATCTGGGAGAACCGGGTTTGATTCCCCCACTCCTCCACTTGCACCTGCTGATGTGACCTTGGGTCAGTCACAAGCTCTGGCACAGCTGTCCTTGAAAAAGAGCAGTTTGTGTCAGAGTTCTCTCAGCCCCACCCACCTCACAGGGTGTCTATTCTGGGGAAGGGAAAGGAGTTTGTAAGCTGCTCTGAGACGCCAAGTGAAGGGCGGGGTATAAATCCAATCTCTTCTTCTTCTTCTTTAATTCACAAGAGGACTTGTCCTCTTATCCCATGACTACTGAGTTTGCTTAGGAGCCTTTGATTAGGAACTTTATCAAAAGCTTTCTGTAAGTCTAGGTAAACAATATCTACTGGGTGTCAGCTATGCTACCATGATGTTTATGGGCAAGAGTGCATCTGCTTGACCTGTGTACCAACTGCTGCCTCATTCCTTTGCTCTTTATTATCTCTGACCTTGCAAGCTGCCTGTGTAGTGTCTTCCCATCATTTACCCATGGGATTAGTTTCTATTCCCAGCTTTGGCTTTAACGGCCTGGGGCTCCATCCTCCCGCGCGCGGGAGTCAGGCCGATTAGCCTAAGAGTGTGTGTGTGTGGGGGTGCATACAAATACCCTATATCCTATTATGCTTGTAGGAACGTAGCCATTCCTAACAGTGATGATGTTACTGCCTCTATAGCTCTTACAATAAAGTATAACCTTATGATAAGCGTGTACTCCTTTGTTTGGCTGTGGAACCTGACATTGGGTCCCCCTTGTCCACATGTTTGTTCACCCCCTCAAAGAACTCTAACAGGTTAGTGAGACAATGAGGAATTTCACATTACCCTTTTTAACCCGTTTTGAAGCTGTTTTTGATCCATCATGGAGTAAACCGGTATAGGGCTGCCATTTCACACATGGCTTTCCCCTTCTGGTAAAGAGCTGGATCTGAAGCACTTTGCCATTTTAGACTGCACCGCTTTTTCCCCACCGTTTTTTGCCCGCGCGGGCGATCTCCGGCTTCTTTTTTTGGAACGTTCGCTTTATAGCGTTATAGCACTATAACAAAACACTCCAGGCATTCAAATGGTGTTGATATATTGCTGTTCCGTTATAGTGTTATAGCACTATAACACTATAAAGCAAACATTTTGTTTTTTTAAAAAGCTGGAAATCGCCCGCGCGGGCGAAAAACAGCGTGGAAAAGCGCATTGCAACCGGGAGAGGAAACTGAAGACTACTTGGAAGCGGTTGACAGGTAAAATGCTTCAGCCCAATTTCCTAAATTGGACAGAAGCGTTTGTGTCTGAAATTACAAATATATTCCGGTAGGGAACCGGTTCTAAAACGGTTCTGTCTGAAATGACAGACCAGAAACCGTCTGGGAACCGTTCCTCTTCCGGATTATATCGTCTGTCTGAAATTCCTCCATGTGTTTGTGTGATATCGGAATGCTGACATCCTGTCTTAATCCAGGTTTGTTCTCTGGAAACACCCTCCAAGGTGAGAGAGAGAGAAGGACATGAAAGCAGTATTTTGTCAAAGCAAACCAAGATTTGAATGATGGTCTGTGAACTGAATCCTGGTTTCACAAACTAACCTCAGCTAAAATATACCCTTGCTGTGCATCATTACTGAGCTGAGCCAAGGATGCCAGGAAAAAATTAATGCGGTCTTCATGCTGTCAATGATAAAATATGGAGACCCATTAGAGGTACACAGGCCTCAAAAACATGCGTATAATTAGATTCATTTACAAACTCCTCCGAGACTTAAAAGGGCATCGTGCTAAATGACAATTCACTCGAATTTCCTTTGTGCCGTTTAGTGTGTGCTTTTAATTCCATCTCAAGAATGCTAGGAGACCGTCAGATGTACATTTTCTGAACCAAGTAAGTATTTTGACATTTCCTTGTCACATCACCCAAATGCTTATATGACACCAAATAGGGTAATTATGGTTATTTTGTCACATTCCTCCGAATGGCTTCCTTAGGCTTATCCTTTTAATAGCTGCGTCTGTGCATTTGACAAGCATTCGGAAGAGAAGCTCCTGCTTCAATCAGATGCAACTGGATTTTGCCGGAGAATGAACAAACCAATGAGCAATAGTCGTGCTTGTCTAATTTCTCTGTCATGAGATCTGCCAGGTTTTAAACAATGCCTGCCTATCTGCTTCAGAGCCAGAAGATGGTGCTTTCCACCTGGCCTTTGGTAATGCAGTGCCCCCCCCCAACCCTAGATCAGGCACCGCACAACAGATGCTCCAGGGGCCTTGGCTGGAAAACAAGAGACTTCAAGAAACCATTTCAGACATGCAGCCATAGACCAGGGCCACCTTTGATATGGCCCTTTCGCACTACCAGGGGATGTCTTTCAAACAGAGATTGGTTGAACCAAAGGTATCCAAGTGTGGAAGCCTAGAGTTTCTCCCCAAAGGAAGAGCTTGTGAATCGGGGCCTGCAGAAGTGGGTGTGATCTCAGTGGGGTGGAGGCAAAAGCCTTGCCAATCTACATGTAGCCTTCTACCCTGAAGCTTGCAATCACAAACGTATTTTAGGGCCTTTTAAGTGCTGCCCAAGCCAAGTAGCAGTTGGTTTTCTGTCAACAGCTCTTGCGCCACTAGGATAATGTTTTGGTACCTAACCACACAGGTGGAACTGATTACACAGACTGATTACACGGACTCTGATAACGAAACGGCACCCTACTGGGGGGCAGGGATGCCCTTTCCATTGGGAAGACCAGGAAGCTGGGCATTGCCAGCACCACTGGGTCATTTCATAACATTGGCCCAGCTATGCAGAAGCCTGCCACAGGGAGAAAACCGACAGTTCCAAAGTGGCCTGGATAACCAATAATCTCTCCCTGGCTAGCAAGCCGGAGGAGAGGTGAGGGGGGGAAGCAGCGAGGGGGAAAGGAAGTGCCCTGCCATGAAAGAGAATAGAAGAGGATGGAGTGCACGTGTTCTCTTGCCTTTCTTAGCACAGTGGTCCATGTGTCAGACTAAGGTCTGGGAGAACCCGGTTTGAACCCCCGTTGTGCTACAAAAGCTTGCTGGGTGACCTGGGGCCACTCACACACGCTCAGCCTAGCCTACTTTATAGGGTGGTTGTTGGGAGGATAAAATGGAAGAGAGAGGAGAAGAGTGTGAGCTACTTTGGGTTCCCAGCGGGGAGAAATGTGGGGAGTTTTCAGGAGCATAAGGGGATTTGTCAGGGAGAGATCAAGGGAGAACCCCACTTGCTTTCATTTCAGCGTAACGCAGGGCTCTTTTTGTAGCAGGGACTCCTTTGCCTATTATTTACTTATTTATTTATTTATTTATCTTTCGACTTTCTACCCCGCTCGAACCCCCAGGGGGGTCTCTGAGCGGCTTACAGTTAATCGCTTATCCCTACCTATGGCCACATATACTGGGGATGGGGATTGCCCTACCGGCACCCTGTGGAGGTCTTTGTTGATCTTCTTTCTCCCGGTCGGCTTGTCGGCTCGGCTTTTTCCGGCTTCCGGCTCTCACTTCCTCCTTCTCCTCACGGTTTTCCGGTGGTGGATCGGCAGGCCCCTCTGGTGCACAGGTACGCTTCGGCGTGGCTCCGGCTCCGTCCGCTTAGGCACCGCCGCGCCTCCGCCTTCCACAAACCTCGCGTCTCCTGGCTCCGCCTCTCCACTGCGTCCGGTCCGCCGTGGATGTTGCACTCGGTCGCCATCTTTTTGCCGCTCGCCGCTCTGCCATTCACCGCTCGCCACCGACACTCCACAAACCTCCTCGACGGGGGAGGGTGCTCCCTACCATCTAAGGTAGGTACCCAATTTATCTACTCGAAGTTTTGATGTTAATTCCTGCTTTCGAACCGCTGGGTTAGCGGGAGCTGGGCCAAGGGCCAGGTGCTCATTCTGGCCGTGGCGGGTTTCAAACAGCTGTAGCAGCTGTTCATAGATGTTACTAGCAGGCATTTAGCCACCTGCGCCACCTGCGCCACCGCTCCCTATTAGGCGACACACCCCTCGTGTAGCCAATCCTCCAAGAGCTCTGTAAGCTCTTGGAGGATTGGCTACATTAGGGGGTTGTCACCTAATATGCAAAGGAGTTCCTGCTATAAGGTCCATGAGTTTGACCTTCCATGATTTTTCCCATAATGGGATGTACAGTGAAAGAGAGGTGGGGTGGGATGTGTTGGGGGAAGATGGTCTGGTGTTTGTATTACGGCTGTCAGTGCTTACAGGCTGACTTAGAGTCATATTTATCCTCTGATCATATAGTTGTTGTTGTTCAGTCGCACAGTCGAGTCCGACTCTTCGGGACCCCATGGACCAGATCACGCCAGCCCCTCCTGTCTTCCGCCGTCCTCTGAAGTTTGCTCAACTTCATGTCCGTTGCATCGATGACACTGTCTAACCATCTCGTCCTTTGCCGTCCCCGTCTTCTTTGACCTTCAATCTTTCCCAGCATCAGGGTCTTCTCCAGTGAGTGCTCCCTTCTCATTGGGTGGCCAAAGTATTTGAGCTTCAGTTTCATTATCTGGCCTTCCAGGGAACAATCAGGGTTGATTTCTTTTCGGATTGACTGATTATATAGACAGATGTTGTATACAGATTATATAGACAGAGATATCAGACACCCTGATCATATAGACAGCAATCCAAAAAATGAATATTATGCTCAAGGGTGGAATAACGTTTGAGTCCAGGGGCCCCTTTAAGACCAACAAAGTTTAATTTTGAGTATAAGCTTTCATGTGCATTTGATTGTTGGTGAGGGGGGAAAGGGGCGTTACAAGAGAAGCAGGAGAAACAGAGGATAGCCAACGGATGTTTTTTTCCAGAGTGCTGTGGGGTGAAAGGTTTACTTCTAGCCCCGCTCTCACATACAGACCACATACAGAAACAGATGCATGCTTACACTACACATTCAAGATTTGCACCTGTACACCAACAGATGCAATCCGATACAGAAACTGCTGGATTATCTCTTAGGAGACCGTTTGCCTCGACTGCATTATCTACCATACAAAGGGTATTGTACACACTTTAACCCGAATAGCTTTTATTTTGTCATCAAGGCGTTGTTTTTTTAAACCCTCAGTAATGTTGCTGAGATTATACCAAAAATTGCCTTAATATTTAATATTTCTCACCAACTTCATGAGGAATGAAAACTAATTATCTAGAGCCTTGTGGTGCAGGGGAGGGGAGGCTAGAAGCCGTTGAAAACCGTTCTGATGCAGAAACACTTTTCTCAGCTTAACACTTTCTGCATACAGCTCACAGCGGATCGCTGTTAAGTCAGCACGGGAAGGGGAAAAGGACATTTTGTACCATATTCACATTTTAGCATTTTCGAAGTCAGAGAACATTCTCAAAATGTCCAGCTTGCATTTCAGTCGTTTGTTTCTTAGCTTTGTTCTGGTCCCGTGTTGTAGGTGATGTGAAAGACCTCTGCCTGAGACCCAGGAGAACCACTGCCAGTCTGAGTAGACAAGACTAGCCATTGATGGACTAGTGGTCTGACTTAAAATAAGGCAGCTTCATGCATTTATTACCTGTGTTGAGCCTTTTGGGGGGGAATTCACAGTCTACAATGAAGTCTACATATTAAAGTGTTTTCAGTTCAGTACTGAATCTGTAACCACCAGAAGACTGAGTAGGGAGGAGAATCTGTTCCCTGGAAGGCCAGATAATGAAACTGAAGCTCAAATACTTTGGCCACCAAATGTGAAGCGAGCACTCCCTGGAGAAGACCCTGATGCTGGGAAAGACTGAAGGTCAAAGAAGACGGGGACGGCAAAGGATGAGATGGTTAGACGGTGTCACCGATGCAACGAACATGAAATTGAGCCAACTTTAGAGGACGGCGGAAGACAGGAAGGCCTGGCAAGAGCTGGTCCATGGGGTCGCGGAGAGTCGGACTCGACTGTGCGACTGAACAACAACAACAATGGATGCTTGCGAAATGGGACTTCTCTTTCCGTACCATTTTACACTCATTTCATCATTTATATTATTTTATCAGTCACTGGATGTAGTCTTGAGTCAGGGGTCCCCAAGCACGCTGCCCGGCAACCCTCTTCTGGAGCCGTCAAATGTGTTTATGGAGTGGGCAGGGCCAGGTGTGGCTTTTGCCCGGCACGGCTGGAGATTTGATTCGCTGTGCAGATTTTTCCAGAATACCGTTTTGGCAGCAGTTGCTACCACAACACAAGCGTGTTCATTGTGTGACCTGAGGTAAGCTGCAGCCCTTTTGCGGCTGGGTCTGCCTCCTGCAGCAGCCATTTTGTGGCAGCCACTGTGTGGCTATACACACACATACACACACCCACTGCACCAGAATTGCAAAGGTGCCTGCAGGCTCAAAAAGGTCAGGGACCCCTGTTTAAAGTCATCTGTGAACTGTGGGATTTGTACCAGATGTCTTGGGAGGGGCTCATACACGCTAAAGAGCGGGCGCCCGGGGCCACAAGAATCCCCCAGGACCGTAAGTCAGCCATTTACCTGTGGCCAAATAGATGACTTGGAAGAGCATCTCTTTGCCTTGTACCACATCCACGACCACGTGAGAAAACCGGCTGTTGTCCTCCATGAAATAAGGAACGGGTGTGACTGGCTGAATGACCTCGTGCATCAGAATAAATTTCTGAGCATCCTGGAGATTCCTTTCGGTCAGATTCAGATAAAGGCCTTGGTCCATAGTGCCACACTGGAAATAGATGAGATCACGCCTGTTAACAAAAGAGACATCCAAGACATACAGCAAGCTCCCAGGCACCCCCTCCCCCATGCTAGATCTTACATAAATCTGTGCAATAAACCCCCATTATCTGGCTACCCGATATACTCAAAATATTTTTTTTTCATACTAGCAAGTCATGCACTGACCAAATGAAAATCATGCAGAATATTAAAAGTCAAAACAAAAGCAAAAAAAGGAGAGGGACAGTTTGGTAGCTGTCTGCCATCCCAAATGTAAGGAACCTGAAGAACGTAAATACAGACTGCTGCATCAGGCCAGCCGTCCATCTAGACCAGCAGTGTTCCCTCTAAGCTTAGTGTGAGCCAGCTCACCGTTTTTTAGCCTCCGGCTCACACGTTTTTGTCTTGGCTCAGAAAGGATGGCTCCAGAGCAAACTAATTTATGCAGTGGCCAAATCACTCGCTCACAACTTTAATTGCCGGTAGCTCACAAAGTAGAATTTCTGCTCACAAGACTCCACAGCTGAGAGGGAACATAGACCAGCATCCTGTTTCACACAGTGGCCAAAGCTCCTGCAGGGTCAGACCAACAGGGCAGAGGCCAAGTAAATCCCTTGTCGAGTTGTTTGCTGGGTGAAGAGAACAGGCAAGGGAGGGGCAATTACACGGCACAGCCCTCCGGCTGCTAAGGACCGGGACATTTTTTTTTTAAACTTCAAATTCAAAATGCCATAAAATAACGCTGGGGGTGAGAGAGGGTTCGTATATGTAGCTAATTTACCTAAATTTGCAGTGCATGTATGTGTGCCAGAGCGTCAGTATACTGTTTTACAAAATATTTGCATTTTAAGGGCTCCGGTCACATGGAGCATTTGCCCCGCTGAAGGCACGGGAATCCCGCGGAGTATCCGGGCGCGATCACACAGGAACATCTGGGAGGTGTAGCACTCCCATGGCGAACCCGTGGCAAGCCGCCGAAGCCGCGCAGTAAAAAACTAGCACACCACATGTACTAGCAAACGCTTTGCCACGGGCCGCCTATGGAAGCCTCCCTGTCATTCTCTTTGCTGTGGAGAAGCAGCCGTTGCGTCTGATCACATAATAGTGTATCAGAATGCGACGGCGCAAATAGCCGCGCTTCCCCCCCCCCCCTGCGTGTTTTTCAGCACGTCTGGCCGGGGCCTATCTATGTTTTTGCATTTAGGAGGAGGAGGAGGAGATTGGATTTATACCCCGCCCTTCACTACCGAAAGGTGTCTCAGAGCGGCTTACAAACTCCTTTCCCTTCCCCTCCCCACAACAGACACCCTGTGAGCAAAGTTCCCTCTAAGCTATGGAGCCCTGTGAGCAAAAATTCTACTTTGTGAGCTATTGGCATTAAAGTTGTGAGCAGGAGATTTGGCTGCTGCATAAATTAGTTTGTTCTGGAGCCATCCTTCCTGAGCTAGGACAAAAATGTGTGAGCCAGAGGCTAAAAAACTGTGAGCTAGCTCACACTAACTCAGAGGGAACACTGCCTGTGAGGTTGGTGGGGCTGAGAGAGCTCTTGACAGAAACTGCTCTTTTTCGAGAACAGCTCCTTATGAGAGCTACGGCTTGCCCAAGGCCATTCAGCCAGGTGCAAGTGGAGGAGTGGGGAATCAAACCGGTTCTCCCAGATTAGAGTCCGCACACTTAACCACTACATCAAACTGGCTCTTAATTTATATTGTTAACCATCCCGAGCCTCAACTGCTGGGGGAAGGGTGGGATAAAAATTTAATGAAATAGTAATAATAATAATTGGAGCCCTTGGAGCAGTGCCTAGAAGTCTCAAGAAACACCTGGACATTCCGGGCATTGAGCAAATAACACCGGCTAAGCTCCAGAAGACAGTGTTCCTTGCAACAGCATGAATCCTGCAAAGATACGTCTGCAGTTCCCAAGAACTTGGGTAGATCTTGAATTGCAGAACACCATCCACCAGTCAAAGTATATGACTATGGCAATTCAAACAACTACAACAACAATGTATATGCAAAAGCTGTCTCCAACTCTCTAACTCTGGATGTGTCCAATGAACACATACGTTGATCCAGTACCTTTTTGACCCGGAATTGGCCTAGTTACAACCTCCATCTTCAAACCAAATGGATTTCCAACTCTTTTGTAGTTTGCCATCAGAAATTATGACTGCTGCTGACATTGCAACCATGCATCCCCAAATGGCTGTTGTGCATTCCACGAGGCACATCAACCCACAAGCAATGTTCCCTCTAGGCTGTGGAGTCTTGTGAGCAAAAACTCTACTTTGTGAGTGACTGGCATGAAAGTTGTGAGCAAGAGATTTGGCTACTGCATAAATTAGTTTGCTCTGGAGTCATCCTTCCTGAGCTAAGACAAAAATGTGTGAGCTGGAGGCTAAAAAACTGTGAGCTAGCTCACACTAACTCGGCTTAGAGGGAACACTGCCCACAAGTAGCTGTAAACACTGGGAAAGCACCTCTTAGTATTGTGAGAAAGCTTTTGTTAAGCGGGACAACTTGCCCAAGCTTGTTCAAATGGATTTTTACCACATGGATTTTTACCACAGAAGACTCCTCCCATGAGAGAAACTCAATGATGTTTGACCCTACATGATATTATGGGGTGAAGAGAAACATGGATTGATAAAAATTTGATCCTATTTTGTGTGATTGTGCCATTGGCTTTGGGAAAATTTCTGGATTCGGCTGAGGGAGTTCAGGTACTGGTGTGTCGACTGGGATAAGCTAAGATAACTAACTTTGACAACAAAGCTAAGATGCCATGAGGACGAGATTGCATAGGACTGGGTTTCACATATATGGGGGGGAAGACTCCCCCCCAAATGTTAGCACACACTATCATGTTATTCAAGAATACTTTTCCTTGAACCCCAGTCTGAAACACCGGAAAGCCCCAGCATGCATTGCTGATTGCTGACCAAGCCTGAAGATTCATGAACACACCTGCAACTCTCACAAACCAGACCAGTCTCATGACCAATAAGAAAAGCTCAGCCTGGATTATTGTTTTGGAATATCAGAAAAAAATGTTATGGGAAAGGGACATTTGGTCCCGTAGGTGCCAAAATAAGAAATAAACAAGGGAAAATTACATGTCCACACCTCTTTCTCCACCCTACGGTGGAGGTGAGGGTGGGCTTTTAGCACTTTGGGATCCACTTGCTTGTGGATCCAATCCTGTTACCTACCTGCTTCTGGCACTTGGACTCCTTGGGTTCCATTCAATCTGTATTTGAACTTTAAATGTTATCTCCTGCACAATTTTGTATATTCTCTCAGGCTCAGTTGAATCTCCCAATTCAGTATGGCCAGATGGCCCATTTTTTCCATAACTTAGTTCAGCCCTCACACTGTATAGCCTTCACATTAGCCCATCTAAATGTTTTACCCTCAAAAGTGCTCTCAGGCCGGTTTAATAAAATTCCCCTACATGAAAGGTTATGTTCATGCCCTTTAAAATCTGTGGATCCAATGTATCATATTATTTTTGACTGTCAGTTTCACTCAGCCCTACACAAAGAATTGTTGTCATCTTTATTTCCTCTTAATTCTAGTTCTAATAAGGAAAAAGCTATTCAGTATCTTCTAAAGGATGTTAATCCTGATATCACAGCTATAGTGGCCGAGTTTCTTGCCGAAGCAGCCAAAGTTAGATCTATGCTCCTAAACGAATGATTTATTTTGTTCATTATGCTTTTAAATTTTCACACTGTGTTATTGTATATCTATGCATTTTACTGTTAGGCCACTAAAGGTATCTGACTTTGACTTTACTGAAAATTCATGAACTTTTAAACGTTTTTAAAAGGATTTTGTCGAAGAGGTTCCAAACCTGTGTTCTGGCACATTCCCCCAGAAAAAAAGCCCTGGTTGTCACAACAACCCAGTGAGCTTCCATGGTAGGACGGGGATTCAAACCTGGTTCCCCCCAAATCCTAGTCGAACACTCTCACCATGACAAAATACCGGCTCGCCTACTGACATTCCTAATAGCGATGTGGGCTTATTGCAAAATCTCAGAACCCTCCAGAATTTTCGATCAATATCATTAGCCATCTAAACATGGGATTGTAGATACGGTATAGATATAAGGATATGTAGATACAGTTTCGCATTCTTCTTTTGTATTTAAGTACCTGGAAGCTAGGGTTCGGGTTTGGATATGGCAGCCAGGCAGACCGCGAGTTCTCCTGGTACTTGAAAGGGCCGTTGAAGACCTGGGTTATGGCAGTCATGTTGAACACACAGACAGCCGAGACGGCAATGCTGTTCCTATAAAAACACATGGTAATGGGGGGGGGGAGAAAGAAGACTAGAAGATGAAGAGAGATCTCAAGCAGAATACTTGGGAAAAGCAACACTTTCCCTCCATAGCCATAAGAACATAAAAGATGCCAATGTTGGATCAGGCCAAAGGCCCATCCAGTCGAACACTCTGTATCACACAGTGGCCAGAAATACCAGGTGCCCTCAGGAGGTCCAGCAGTGGGGCCAGGACATTAGAAGCCCTCCCACTGTTGACCCCCCGCAAGCACCAAGAATACAGAGCATCCCTTGCCCCAGACTGAGAGTTCCTATCTATACCTTGTGGCTAATAGCCACAAATGGACTTCTGCTCCACATGTTTACCTAGTTCCCTCTTATAAGAACATAACAGAAGCCAGTGTTGGATCAGGCCAGTGGCCCATCCAGTCCTAAGAACATAAGAGATGCCAATGTTGGATCAGGCCAAAGGCCCATCCAGTCGAACACTCTGTGTCACACAGTGGCCAGAAATACCAGGTGCCCTCAGGAGGTCCACCAGTGGGGCCAGGACATTAGAAGCCCTCCCACTGTTGACCCCCCGCAAGCACCAAGAATACAGAGCATCCCTTGCCCCAGACTGAGAGTTCCTATCTATACCTTGTGGCTAATAGCCACAAATGGACTTCTGCTCCACATGTTTACCTAGTTCCCTCTTATAAGAACATAACAGAAGCCAGTGTTGGATCAGGCCAGTGGCCCATCCAGTCCTAAGAACATAAGAGATGCCAATGTTGGATCAGGCCAAAGGCCCATCCAGTCCAACACTCTGTGTCACACAGTGGCCAGAAATACCAGGTGCCCTCAGGAGGTCCACCAGTGGGGCCATAGTTATTTACATTTCATCATAAATTACCTCATATGTAATGCGTCATACTTTTTCAGGAATTCACGTGAAAAGTGCAATTTCAGGGCACTGCTTTTGTCCGAGGAGCAGAAGGGGATATCCCCACAGTGTGTACCTGTATTTAAGCCTCCCCCCCCCCAAAAAAAAACCCCACTTAATATCTAATCAAACAGCAATGAACACATGAAACTGCCTCACACTCAGTCAGGCTATTGGTCGATCATGAGCAGCAGCATCTCCTCTGGCCAGCAGCATTTCTCCGGGGGCGATTTCTCACTAGAGCTGCCTCGCAGCGGCCGTTTGCCCCGACACAAACATGTCAATTTCACACCCGAGGCGCCGGGGCTGCATTTTGCCTCCGGGGTTTGCCCCACTGTGCGGGGCTGCATTTTGACTCGCGGCTTCGCCTGATTTCCTCCGCAGTTTCGTGATCCTGGTTTTTGGGGATCATGAAACTGCGGAGGAAATCGGGCGAAGCCCCGAGTCAAATGCAGCCCCGCAGCCTCGGGTGTGAAATTGACATGTTTGTGTTGGGGGAAACGGGGCTGCGCTGCGAGGCAGCTCTAGTGAGAAATCGCTCCGGGTCTCCTGATTTTCCACAGAAAAATCTTTCTCTTGGTTCAGTAAGGAAACATATGAAGGTACTTTATACTGAATCAGACCTCTCTGCGTCTATATTGTCTGCTGTGACCGGCACTGGCTTTCTAACGTTTCCACTGGAAGTCTTTCACATCACGTCCCACCTGATCCTTTCCTCTGCAGATGGCAGGGAATTGAACCTGGGATCTTCTGCACGCAAACCAGACGATTTTCAAGCGAGACAAGGATACTTCTTTTTATACCCACCCTGATTTTGCTATGAAAATTGTTACTATGGTTCAGTTAAAAAGGTAAAGGTTCCCTTGCTCGAAAGCCAGTCGAGTCCGACTCTAGGGCTGAGGTGCTCATCTCCGTTTCCAAGCCGAAGAGCCAGCGCTGTCCGAAGACGTTTCCGTGGTCATGTGGCCGGCATGACTAAACACCAAGGCGCACAGAACGCTGTTCCCTTCCCACCGAAATGGCACCTATTTATCTACTTGCAATTTCTTGCTTTCGAACTGCTAGGTTGGCAGGAGCTGGAACTAGAGACGGGAGCTCACTCCATCATGCGGCACCCAGGTCTCGAACTGCTGAACTACCGACCTTCCACAGCCTGCAGTTCAGCGTCTTAACCACTTGAGCCACCGCAGCTCCTCATGGCTCAGTTAGGAAACAGCAAAAACATTCTTAAAACTTCCAATCCGGCCATTTGAATGAGTGACTTTTCCACATGGTTCTATAATGGCCCCAGTTTGCAAGTTCCTCCTGCCTCTTAAGCATTCAACATGGAGCTCTCCAGCTGAGTGCAATATTGAATTGGCATGCTGCTAGACGTTACGCTGCATACTCCCCTGGAGGAAACAGCCTTCGCACAACAAGCATTTGTGCTCTTAGACAAATGGCTCTATAAGAAACCCGCGTGCCAGTCGCTCACGAACGACTGAGATCTACACAGAGATGGAGAATCCGTAGGTTTGACACTGGAAGGTTCAATTCTTCCCATTTTTATACATAGCTGATGTACTCATCAGGAAAACCCTGATGAGTAAAGATGAGCATTCAGCCCTCTTTAGATCCAAAATGCAACACAGTGGGTCAGGGACATGAACTAAGCAAAATATAGACTTTTCTCCACTAGACTCAACCATGAGCAAAGAGCTGTGCTTCTTTCTCTCGGGAGCTAATTATATGTTACATGCGAGCATGTGTCGCCCCCTTTTTAAAAAACAATCAAGGCCATTTTGGGGGGACAGAAGCAGAGAGCTAAAAAACTAGGAATATAACGGTCAGGCTGAGGGCAGCCCTGACAGGAGAGAGAAAGAGGAGGGGAGGTAAACTGCAGGGAGATGGGGAAGGTGGCCATGCGTGTGCTCCATAATGTGTCATGAGATTTAGATATAACAAGAAAGGGGACCTGCGATACTCGCGGGGGAGGGGGAGAAGAGGAGGAGGAGGCAGCAGCAGCAGGTAAGCCCTCTTCCCCCCCCCATCCCCGGACACCGGCGGCGTGGCCTGAGCGGTTTTCAGTCGCTGGGCCCCGCCAATCTCTCTGCCCCCTCGCTTCTTCCCCCTCCGCCGATCTCCTTCCATCCCCCTCCGGCTCCGGCGGCCAATCTTCTCCTTCTCTCCCCCTCCCTCGGCTCCAGCAGCGAGGTCTGAGCAGCTTCCAGCCGCCAGCCCACCGCAGAGTTCCCAGAGCGATCCCTGCGCATGCGCGGGAAACGCGCCTTTACTTTTGGGCGATTTAAATATCCCCCCTATATTTTTTTCAACTTTTTAGATTTTTGTGCGCACCTGGGGACTGCCCCAAGTGGGCAGGAAAATCTCCCTCCCACCCAGGTGCCCCCGATGCGCGGATTTAGGTATCCGCATGCAGGGGGCGCCTTCGCTATTAGATATATAGATGTTGTCAGGGCTTATCAAAAGTGACAATGGCTCAGTGGTATAGCATTTTCCTGGCATGCAGAAAGCATGTGATGTGAAAGACCTTCGGGAAACCCTGGAGAACCACTGCTGGTCAGAAGAGACAATACTGACCTCGACGGACCAACACCAGGCTCCGTATAAGGCAGCTTTTTGTGTTCCTGTGTGCAAGAACTCTTTGCCAACGCCCAGAATTCATACCAGAAAGAACGCCGGAGTTATCTTTCTTTTGAAAAGAGAAATTTAAAAAAAGTTGGTACACTTTTATCGGACATTTCCAGAGTAGGTAAATCTGTTGTTCAGGGCTGTTCACACAGCTGGAAAACTGCTGCCTGAAAGCCAAACTAGATGTCAATGGCCGCCATGAGTCTGACTCATGCCCTCCACTGCCATTAAAAAGGTAAAGGTTCCCTTGCTCGAAAGTTAGTCGAATCCGACTCTAGGGTTACGGTGCTCATCTCCGTTTCAAAGCCGAAGAGCCAGCGCTGTCCAAAGACATTTATGTGGTCATGGGGCCGGCATGACTAAACACCAAGGCGCACGGAACACTGTTCCCTTCCCACCGAAGTGGTCCCTATTTATCTACTTGCAATTTCTTGCTTTCGAACTGCTAGGTTGGCAGGAGCTGGAACTAGAGACGGGAGCTCACTCTGTCACGCAGCACACCTGGGTCTCGAACTGCTGAACTACCGACCTTCCACAGCCTGCAGTTCAGTGTCTTAACCACTTGAGCCACCGCAGCTCCACTGCCATTAAATGGCCAAAGTCTTCTCTAAAATGGCATCACCATAATGCTAGTTTGGTCCTGAGATCTGCAGAGCAAGCATTTCTTGGGCTCAACTATACCTTATGCTTTCATTCTTCCTTCTCGGATTTATTTTAAACAACTTTTTTTTTCTTTTTTGCAAGTTTTGCTACCAGGATTGCTTTAAGGAGAAGAGAAGTGTGGGAGGGAGGGAAACTTTAACCCTTTCCTCCTCACCAGAAGCCCACCCCTCCCCCCAGCTTCTTGTATCTACCCTGGGGAAAGAATAGGGTAGATATAAATTTTCCCCTGCAGGAGTACATATGAGGAGAAGAAGAGCCCTGCTGGATCAGAACAGTCATCCATCTAATCCAGCATCCTTTTTCACACAGTGGCCAACCAGTTCCTCTTGACAGCCAGCAAAAGAGCACAGAGGCAGAGCCCTTCCCCTGATGTTGCCTCCTGGCACGGGGATTCAGAGGCTGAGTGCATGTGAATGTGGAGGTTCCCTTTAGTCACCATGGCTAGTAGGCCAACAGACCTATCCTCCATGAATCTGTCTAATTCCCTTCGGAAGCTGTCTATGCCAGTGGCCATCACTACACCCTCTGGCAGGGAATCCCACATTTTTATCACTCGCTATGTGAAGAAGTATTTCCTTTGGTCCCTCCTGAATCTACTGCCCGTCAGCTTCATTGGATGCCCAGGAGTTCTAGCATTTTGGGCGAGGGAGAAAGATTTCTCTTTGTCAACTCTCTTCACCCCGCACATCATTTTATCATGTCCCCCCCCCCTTTGTCGCTGTATAGAAAAAGGCTTTTCTAAAATCCTCCCTGCTTGGGCCAGATGGCCCTAGCTGGTAACACTACCGCGTGATTCCTGTCACCTGTGCAAATGGCTTGCCATATACAAGACACTTTGACACCTCTGCCAAGAGAGAGCAACTTGCCAGCGCCTTCCCAAGCATGGGACGAGCTATGCCCAGTACATTAGCACATCAAAAGCATTCCCTGACATGACACGATGGGGAATTTAAGACAGGCGATATATTCCGGAAGAGGAATACATTTCAGACAGAACCGTTTGAGAACCGGTTCCCTTCCGGAATATATTTGTCATTTCATACACAATCGCTTCTGTCCCGTTTAGGAAACGGGGCTGAAGCATTTTACCTGTCAACCACTTCCAAGTAGACTTCAGTTTCCTCTCCCGGTTCCGATGCGCTTTTTCCCGCCGTTTTTCATCCGCGCGGGCGATCTCCAGTGCTTTTAAAGCTATAGCGCTATAACGGAATAGCATTATACCAATCCCATTGGAATGCACGGAGTGTTTTGTTATAGTGCTATAGTGCTATAGTGCTCTAAAGCAAATGTTCAAAAAAAAGCTGGAGATTGCCTGCACGGGCGAAAAATGGCGGGGGGAAAGCGGGAAAAAGTGGTGCAGTCTGAAATGGCAAACCGCTTCAGATCCAGCTCTTTACCGGAAGGGGAAAGCCATGTGTGAAATGGCAGCCCTATACCGGTTCACTTCAAAATGGATCATTACCGGCTTGAAACCAGGTGAAACTGGGTAATGTGAAATTCCCCATGGTCAATAGAAGAGGCTAGAGTGGGATGCCCAACTCCGAGCCAATCAAAACATACCTTGCCTGACAACGCATGGTAACTAGAGATTGGAATGCCTTCCCACTCTCTCAGTATTGGGTAAATGGCCACGCCTGGTGGTGACGGGGGTATATCAGCAATGATCCATATGGGAAACAGGGGGTTAAGGAGAGTTAAGTAAGTTCTTCTCTGGGAAACAAAGAGTTCTTTTGGATTGACTGTTTGCTGTTAACATGGAGTGAGACTGTTAGGCAGCCAAGCTGGACTAGCTGCCCACAAAACCATGGGGTTCCTCTTCAAGATCCCCTGGTGAGACCCTGGACTATTTGCACACCACCCTGGTAATTATGAACTACCCAGGGCTCTTTTTTTAGCAGGAGCTCCTTTGCATATTAGGCGACACACCCCTAATGTAGCCAGTCCTCCATGAGCTTACAGTAGCCCCTGTAAGAAGAGCTCTGTAAGCTCTTGGAGGGTTGTCTACATTAGGGGTGTGTTGCCTAATATCCAAAGGAGTTCCTGCTACAAAAAGAGCTCTGGACCTCTATTGTATCGTGGGAGCTGAACAAACTATAGATATCTTTTGTTTCTTATCTTTTGCTAGTCTCGTGTTATATGCATGCTTGTGCACTGAATAAAGATAACATATAATCAATATTATCTGGACCTGTTTCCTCTGTTGCAACCTGATTTCTAAGATTGAATCTTGTGTCTAAAGCCGTTCGCCAAAGGAGGCTACCACTGTGTTACTTAATTGTTTGCAGCCCTGGTGCAGAGCTGGTCAAGTGGGTCAGTCCCATAAAGCAAGGAGGAGTTTGGGATCTCTGCTCCTGAGCTTTGGTGCGGGACTGTTTTACAAAGAGAGATCCTGGTGGCAGACTACTGGTAAAGCCTGCGGAGTGTACAGACATTCTCCTGGCGTTTGTTGAATTGTTCCTGAACGCTTGGTTTCTCTCCCATCCCTAGACTGGGATGCGAGAGAGAAACTTTGACAGTCGCATCTTTTCTAAACTGAAAAGGCCCAGTCTCTTCAGCCTTTCCTCACAGGGAAGAAAATTTTTGGGGGGGGGTCCCCCCCCCCCCCCAGCCAGAAAATGGCAGGTGGGAAAAGTTCAACCGTCACCTCTGTCCAAATGCTGTTCTCCTCCTTGATAAAGCCGTCTCGGCGGCTGCTCGATTTGCAAAGGAAGACAACATTTAAATAAACACAGAAGTGAGAATACATCATAAGTAACTGAGCCCTAATGCTCCTATTTAAACAAGTATTTAGAAAACTTATCTAATTGAGAGGTTACACGGATAAAGGTAAAGGTAAAGGTTCCCTTGCTCGAAAGCCAGTCGAATCCGACTCTAGGGTTGCGGTGCTCATCTCCATTTCCAAGCCGAAGAGCCAGCGCTGTCCGAAGACGTCTCCTCGGTCATGTGGCCGGCATGACTAAACACCAAGGTGCACAGAACGCTGTTCCCTTCCCACCGAAGTGGTCCCTATTTATCTACTTGCAATTTCTTGCTTTCGAACTGCTAGGTTGGCAGGAGCTGGAACTAGAGACGGGAGCTCACTCCGTCATGTGGCACCCGGGTCTTGAACTGCTGAACTACCAACCTTCCACAGCCTGCAGTTCAGCGTCTTAACCACTTGAGCCACCGCAGCTCCGTTACACGGATACTGCTCCATAAAACCAAGTGAAAGTCTGGAGTGATGAATTCAACATTCCTAGAAGGTGAATGGATCACAAAGGGAAATTTTATGAGGGCAGATTGGGTATGTTGTTCTCTTATGGAAAAGCAAATATGTAATAAATCAATCAATTTAAGAGTTTCACTTCTTAAAAATATTGATTTCCTGATCTACATGATTGGGTTGTAAATACTAGCTTGCCCTTTGACAGAAATTTAATCTATATCTTCCAAAACCATACTTATTAAATAAAATAAATACTACTGAACTATACAAAGCATTAAAAAATACAATCAGAGAATCCTTCCTCCAGAAATAAGCACTTTGTCCCAAGCACTGGGGCAACTATTGTACAATGAACGAGAAGTTGTGGGTTGAATCAAAACGGCCCTGTTCTTTGCCGCTCACTGAGACCTTGGGCAATGCTCAAGTTAAAATATCTGTGTTATTCTACCAAGAGAAGCTTTGTGGTTTGATAATTTTGTTTATTTTCTGCTTATTCGTTGCTTATAGTTCATTACACTGTGAGAAATGAGGGGCTCTTCTGCATTCTCATTTTCCTCACGTGTCGGTTTTGCTTCAGTGTGTTTTTGTTTGTTTTGCTCCCTCTAGTGGTTCTTTTGATATTACACCTGTTTATGTCCAGCATATCTCCCCACGCATTTAAACTGCAGTTTTTAAACCAGACATAAACCAATGTAACACTGAAGCCACTAGAAGGTGCAAAACACGTGCAGAACAGGAAAGAACCCCCGAAGCAACAGGAACTCACAAACAAGGAAAATGAGAATGTGGAAAAGCTCAAGGAGTAGATGTGCTTCCTCCTTCATCTCCTGTTCTACAGGTAGGCCGTCTCTTTGTCCCAAGTGCCAATAATCTTGTAGTATCTACCTCAGAAGATGTTTGTATTCCAGCAAACCAAAGGGCATGGGGACAACACAATGGGAGCAAAGTGTGCCCTGTCAGTGCTGCCAGTGTGCAGATGTGCAGATGTTCACATCAGAACTAGCCCTATGTGTCAAGCAAACAGGTCTGTGGCACCAGTGTTTTCCACATATGTTAGGGATTTCCTAAGGTAAAGGTCTCCCTTGCTCGAAAGCCAGTCGAATCCGACTCTAGGGTTGCGGGGCTCATCTCTGTTTCAAAGCGAAGAGCCAGCGCTGTCCGAAGACATTCCTGTGGTCATGTGGCCGACATGACTAAATTCCAAGGCGCACGGAATGCTGTTCCCTTCCCACCAAAGTGGTACCTATTTATCTACTTGCAATTTCTTGCTTTTGATCTGCTAGGTTGGCAGGAGCTGGAACTAGAGACGGGAGCTCACTCCGTCCCGCGGCACACTCGGGTCTCAAACTGCTGAACTACCGACCTTCCGCAGCCTGTAGTTCAGCGTCTTAACCACTTGAGCCCCCGCAGCTCCTAGGGATTGCCTACCCAGCGGCATATTCTGTTCTTTCAAGGGCTCACATCTCAAGAACCTTCAGTGGCACTTCTGTTTTCAAAACAGATGGCTGTCCTGCAACACACATCTCCTATGAGGTGAAGCGGAGGACCTCTTCCTCTCATTTATGCAGAATACTCTACAAATAAAAGTACTGCGTAAACTACATACACATTAGTGGTAAAGATCCCGTAGACTAAGTCCAGTTCTGGCAGGTAGAACGTACTCTGTAATTCATTGTAGTAAAATGGAATTTCTCCTGGGCGGGAACAGTTCAAGCGCGCTTTCATGAAGGTGGTCCAGGTATCCTCCAGTAAAAATCGGCCTCCGATGTCGTTCTTACACACTCGGGCAGCCCGGGAGTAAACTATTTGCCCGCAGTCATATTCCATAGCATTTTCTCGGAAGAAGAAGTAGAAGAAGTTTCCAATATCATATGACGATACAAAATTTGGTTCTGAAATACATTTGGGGTGGGGGAACAGGGAGAAAATAACTTTTGCTTTAATTTGATTTTCCCTTAGAAAGGGGAGATTTTTTAAAACAAAACAACAATTCTGACTTTAAGTCCAATTTTGAATTATGACACAAGATTCAGTCTTAGAAATCAGGTTGCAACAGAGGAAACAGGTCCAGATAATATTGATTATATGTTATCTTTATTCAGTGCACAAGCATGCATATAACATGAGACTAGCAAAAGATAAGAAACAAAAGATATCTATAGTTTGTTCAGCTCTATCAGGGCTCTTTTTGTAGCAGGAACTCCTTTGGATATTAGGCAACACACCCCTAATGTAGCCAATCCTCCAAGAGGTTACAGAGCTCTTCTTACAGGAGCTACTGTAAGCTCGTGGAGGACTGGCTACATTAGGGGTGTGTCGCCTATTATGCAAAGGAGCTCCTGCTACAAAAAGAGCCCTGGCGTAGTTCATAGTTACCAGGGTGGTGTGCAAATAGTCCAGGGTCTCACCAGGGAATCTTGAAGAGGAACCCCATGGTTTTGTGGGCAGCTAGTCCAGCTTGGCTGCCTAACAGTCTCACTCCATGTTAACAGCAAACAGTCAATCCAAAATAACTCTTTGTTTCCCAGAGAAGAACTTACTTAGCTCTCCTTAACCCTCTGTTTCCCATATGGATCATTGCTGATATACCCCCCCCCCTCCGTCACCACCAGGCATGGCCATTTACCCAATACTGAGAGAGTGGGAAGGCATTTTTTGATTGGCTCGGAGTTGGGCATCCCACTCGAGCCTCTTCTATTGACCATGGTGAATTTCACATTACCCATTTTCACCTGGTTTCAAGCTGGTAATGATCCGTTTTGAAGTGAACTGGTATAGGGCTGCCATTTCACACATTGACAGGCAATAAATCAGGGACAGATCGAAGGAAGTACTTCCCCAGGCAACCAGTAGCTAAACTGTGGAATTTGCTGTAGCTCTAGTGATGGTCACTAGCACGGATGGCTTTAAAAGAGATTAGCCAGTTTCTTTGAGGACAGGTCCATCAATGGCTACTGGCCATGATGACTTCATGAAACCCCCATATTCAGGGACAGCAAACCTCTGAATTCCAGGACTAGCAGGCAACATCATAGGAAGGCCTTGGCCTTCGTCCCCGGTTTGCTGGGTCTCCCCGGAAGCCCGTTAGCTACTGTGTGAAATAGGATGCCAAACTACATGTATCACTAGTCCATCAGATGAATACACAAAGCGGCCTTATACTGAATCAGACCCTTGGTCCATCGAAATCCGTACTGCCTACTCAGACTGGCAGCAACTTTCAAGAGTCTCAGACAGAGATCTTTCACATCCTCTACTGCCAGATCTTTTAATTGGAAATGCCAGTGATTGAATCTGGGACCTTTTGCACATCAAGCAGATGCTCTGTCACTGAGCCACAGCCCCTCCTCTCTTACGTTCTTAAAAAGGTAAAGGTTCCCTTGCTCGAAAGCCAGTCGAGTCCGACTCTAGGGTTGCGGGGCTCATCTCCGTTTCAAAGCCGAAGAGCCAGCGCTGTCCGAAGACGTTTCCGTGGTTATGTGGCCGGCATGACTAAACACCAAGGTGCACGGAAAGCTGTTACCTTCCCACCGAAGTGGTACCTATTTATCTACCTGCAATTTCTTGCTTTCGAACTGCTACGTTCATGCAAAATGGTAGACAAGGTTTGAAATATCTGAAATATATCCCCCTTGAAAGGCCTTTGCTCATTATTCTCAGGTGTGCCTTGCAAAAACAGCTAAGAGCTTCTTGCATTTGCAGATGTCACAGCTTAATTGCAAACTGTTCCGTCTGAACGGGGTGTAGGTGTGGAGTCCCCTTGATTCCCAAAGAGGAAATCTTACTGTTACTGAGGATGACATGTGAGAGCGAAGATCATTCACATGAGTGGGAGTACAGAAAGTTTTTACATTTCTTGCATGTAGACACATACACGAGCCACTCAAGTTACAATTTTAGATGTGAGGGTGACTTCCAATATTAAGTGGCCATGTAGTTAAACAATTATACCAAGAGCATCGCTGAAGTATCTTTATTCTTCTCAACAACACATGCATTCCTTTCCAACTTCTTTCATGCCTCAACAGATTTCCTGCTGGACAAATAAAAACGTTGACACCTAAAGGGCAGACTGGACCACATGTACTTCCAAGTACACAGAGCAACCGCGAGAATCAAGACAGTTACAATTAAGAGAATCCAAAATCCTAACTGTTATACACCCACTCAGACACATGCATCCAGTCATGCATACTTAAAACCCATGTGCACAAACTTGCATGCACACAAAGGAACTAACTACAACAAAGTAAGGTAAAGGTAAAGGTTCCCTTGCTCGAAAGCCAGTCAAATCCGACTCTATGGTTGCGGTGCTCATCTCCGTTTCAAAGCCGAGGAGCCAGCGCTGTCCGAAGACATTTCCGTGGTCATGTGGCCGGCATAACTAAACACCAAGGCGCACGGAACGCTGTTACCTTCCCACTGAAGTGGTCCCTATTTATCTACTTGCAATTTCTTGCTTTTGAACTGCTAGGTTGGCAGGAGCTGGAACTAGAGACGAGAGCTCACAACAAAGTAAACAAACAGATAAAGAAATAAAATAGCTACAAATGTGAGTAACAAGGTCCAGACACCACTTTTTAAAAACCAAAGCAGAGGATTTAGCACAAGGGGAGAATTTGTTTTTTGGACATCGCAGGGAAGGAAAAATTTGGGGAGGCAGGACGAGTGGAGATGCCTATGTTGTGAAAAAGCGGTAGACAGAGAAAGGGTTTCTCTCCTCTTCTTCCCGTTTGCCATTTCTCCACTCTAAATTTATCCCACCAGGAAATCTGCTTTTCTTTTCACCCGCAAAATAAAAGGGAAAAGATATTACGCATCACGTATGCTTCAGCACAATGCAGAGACAATGAGGAATTTCAGACAGACGATATAATCCAGAAGAGGTACGGTTCCCAAACGGTTTCTGGTCTGTCATTTCAGACAGAACCGTTTTAGAACTGGCTCCCTACCGGAATATATTTGTAATTTCAAACACAAACGCTTCTGTCCTGTTTAGGAAACGGGGCTGAAGCGTTTTATCTGTCAACCGTTTCCAAGTAGTCTTCAGTTTCCTCTCCCGGTTCCGATGCGCTTTTTCCCACCGTTTTTCGCCTGCGCGGGCGATCTCTGGCTTTTTTTGGGGGAGGGGAACGTTAGCTTTATACCGTTATAGCGCTATAGCGCTATAGCGCTATAACGCAACGGCATTATATCAACCCCATTGAAATGCCTGGAGTGTTTTGTTATAGTGCTAAAGCGCTATAGCGCTCTAAAGCGAATCTTAAAAAAAAAAAGCTGGAGATTGCCCACATGGGCGAAAAACAGCGGGGGAAAAGTGGGGGAAAGTGGTGCAGTCTGAAATGGCAAAACGCTTCAGATCCAGCTCTTTACCGGAAGGGGTTTACTCCATGACGGATCAAAAACGGCTTCAAAACGGGTTAAAAAGGGTAATGTGAAATTCCTCAACCTCTCAGTCCCTAACCACACCATGCACTGGGAGTTCCATGGACAGGGCACCCGGCATTTTCCAGACACACTTACCAGACGTGTAGGGGCACGATTCAGACTGGGACAGAAGGGAAGCCCTGTCCCCCTGCACTATTTTCCTGATCAAAATTGGCCCCGGAGGAGGGCTGTTTGCCCCACTGTAACAATGTACAGGTGTTGGTCTCAGGTGGACATGGGAGTTTCACAGCTGGGGAAATTACTCCAGTTCCATTTTATTGAGAAAACACCACAGTCCTGATGTGACTCAGCCCCCTGTGCACCTGGTAAGTAAGCTTTAAAAAAAAAATGCAGGGTATTCTATAGACGGAGCTGCGGTGGCTCAAGTGGTTAAGACGCTGAACTGCAGGCTGTGTAAGGTCAGTAGTTCAGCAGGTCTGGTCGAGACCCGGGTGCCGCATGACAGAGTGAGCTCCCGTCTCTAGTTCCAGCTCCTGCCAACCTAGCAGTTCGAAAGCAAGACGTTGCAAGTAGATAAATAGGTACGACTTCGGTGGGAAGGGAACAGCGTTCCGTGCGCCTTGGTGTTTAGTCATGCCGGCCACATGACCACGGAAACGTCTTCGGACAGCGCTGGCTCTTCGGCTTGGAAATGGAGATGAGCACCGCAACCCTAGAGTCGGACTCGACTGGCTTTCGAGCAAGGGAACCTTTATTCTATAGATGGGATTCTTGGCATAGGGCTTTGTTAGGGTCTCAGTCTCCTGATATGTTCCTGAATGCACAGAGACATTCACAGACCCCAGAGTCTTTCTCTGTCTATTTTGGGGGTTTATTGAGCCCCACATAAACTGAGTCTCAGCAGCAATCCAGGATCCTGCCTCGTGTGGTTCCCCCCCCCCCCTAAAAGTTCCAAGGACTGAATTTAAGACTTCCCGCATCCAAAGCCTGTTCTTTGCCAACAAGTTAAGTTCCTTCCGTTACGTCCACAATAACACCCTCATTTATTTTATTTGGGAAATGTTTATGTCACAACCCCCAAAGTTCTCCTCAGGGCAGCTTAGAAATAAAAGCACCATTAAAAAATAACAAAAGCATCATAAATTATCACTACAAAAAAAAACCCCCAATACAAGCCATGAAAAACAAGCTGGGGATATATAAACAGCATAAAGATGTCAATAGAACAGACCAGGAGCAGACCGTGAAACAGCTAAAAAGATTTGAAAACCTCAGGTAAAAACCTGGGTAAATAGAAATGCCTTGGCTGGAAGCCTACAAGACAGCCATGTCAGATAAGCCTCAAGGAAGCGAGCATTCCAAAGGCAAGGTGCCCCCATGGAAACGGTGCCCTTCTCTGTCCAGCTGTCGCTGGCCTCAGCTCTGAAGAAGAAGAAGAAGAGAAGAGATTGGATTTATACCCCATCCTTCACTACCCAAAGGTGTCTCAGAGCGGCTTACAAACTCCTCTCCCTCCCCCTCCCCACAACAGACACCCTGTGAGGTCGGTGGGGCTGAGAGAGCTCTTGACAGAAACGGCTCTTTTTCAAGGACAGCTTTTATCAGAACTACGGCTTGCCCAAGGTCATCCAGCCAGGTGCAAGTGGAGGAGTGGGGAATCAAACCCGGTTCTCCCAGATTAGAGTCCGCGCACTTAACCACCACACCAGACTGAAGGGAGGGCACAGAGAGCTGGCCTGGAGAAAGAGACCTTAACTGGCAGGCTGGACAGTATGGGCGGAGGAAGACTTTCTCCTCCACACTCTCCAATCCATCTGGAATTTCAAACTGGAGGCCATTGGTGCTGAGGACTAGGAAACTGGTTTTCCGTGCAAAGAAAATATCACAAAAGCCTCAGCCGTCCAGATGTTCTTTTCACAAACCAGCGATGGGACGTCTTCAGCGCCACAGAATGGGTTTCCCCGAACTCACCATTGAGCCACTTGGAGTTGTACTGCGCAGTCCGGAGAGGAGGAAGGGCCCCCAAACTACGATAGATAGCAGGATCCCTTCCTGGAAAGTCCATGACGGTCGCCGCGTAGAGCTCGCCAGTGTTTGTGAGCAGGGCCGTGGAGTTGTGCTGGGGGCTGTACGGACAGCGGGCCATGCCACTGATCTGATCGTGCGTCTCTTCCAGGTTACTCAACTGTCATCAGGAGGAGAAGGGAATTAATGATTAAATTCACATTACATCACGCGAAACCACAACTCAGCAGGAGGACGTCCGGAGCCGCAAGGACGTTGTGACGCCCACCGCGGCTGCGCACCAGGGCCCATAACCAACAGCCCCCGAGAGGAGTCGCCAGAGAGCCGAAAGAACAGAGTAGGCTGCGGAAGATGCACCGGAGAAAAACTGGAAGAAGTCGCCCACTCGCCGGATAAATGAACGATCGGAGCCAGGAGGGTACCTGGTAGGGCTCCCCCCACCCCAGATGTACTGTGGCCATAGTTAGGGTTTCTGCATAGGTCCCTGCACCATGCACTGTGTAAGCCACTCAGAGCCCTTCGGGGGTGAGCGGGGTACAAATTGAAAGTATAAATAAATAAATAAACTCACCACTCTGAAATCTTTAAGACATACAGGTACACACTCACACCAAAAAAGTGGCAACAATCCTTTGTGAATGCTGAGGAGTGTATCTGAAATCCAAGGAGAAGCCCCTCGGTTTTGCATATTTTATACCACAGTGACCTGTCATGGAGGTAGGGCTGCCAGCCTCCAGGTGGGGCCTGGGGATCTCCTGCTTTTACAGCGGATCTCCAGCTGACAGAGATCAGCTCCCCTGGAGAAAAGGGCTGCTTTGGAGGGCGGACTCTGTGGGAGGTGATATGGTAACCATCTTCAAGTCCTTGAAGGGCTGTCATATAAAGGATGGTGTGGAGTTGTTTTCTGTTGCCCCAGAAGATCGGACCAGAACCAGCGGGTTGAAATTAAATCAGAAGAGTTTTCGACTAAACATTAGGAAGAACTTCCTGACGGTTAGAGCGGTTTCCCAGTCAAAAGTACCTCTTCCCAAAGCTGCCATTTGCCAAACACAAACAGAAAGCACTGTTCACAGAGAGCTCCACAAGGAGCCTCGAATGGCTTGGTTTTGTTTTGTTTCTAATGGCTCCAGAAAACCATACTTGAGCTAGTCTGCAAGGGCCAAGTGCAGAGAAACTTCTAAAACTCGGGGACAAGGATTCATTTTAAACTACAAGGAATCAAGGGACCTTTTGAGCCCTAGAAGCTAAGAAGGTATGTTAACCGAAAAGGACCAGAGCTGTAGGTTGCTTGAGGCCAGGAAATTACACACACACACACCCCAGCTCCAATTTTCCATTCCCAAGGAACAGGAGAGAGAAAAAATGACTTCCATATAGTGATGCTCTAGGAATTTGCCCCTAATCTGTATGGTATAGACCACGGAGAATAAGGGAGGCAGGTGTTACCAGGAAGTGACATCACAGCTGCCCCTCAAATCTCCCAGTATTGGCTGAGGCAGTGTTGGGAACACTACATATTAGACAAAAGTAAATGGCTTTAAAAGAAAAGTAAAATTGGATTTTTTTAAAAAAACCCTAAAATAGAATGTTATCCTCTTCTAGTTCACGTTTCTTTTTTAAAAAAATCATATTTTAAAGTGAAACCTGTTTTTAAGAGACACCATCAGGTTAGAAGTCCACGCTTACAATCTCTCGAAACTGAATCCTAACCAACTATCAGTCAGACTTTTCTCTAAAAAGAATCACGAGGTAAAATAACCTCCAGGGTTAAGTATTGTAAGGCCCCGGTCACACGGGAGACTTTGGCCCGGGAGAGGGACAGATCGGGGGCGCAGCAAACGGGCGCGATCTCACCGCAACATTTGGGAAGCGGCGCGCACCCGTCCCCGATCCGTCCCTAAACCCGGAAAACCCGCTGAAAAAAAGAACCTCCTACAGAGGAGGACTTACCTGAAGCACCGCTGCAAGCGCGGCAGTGGGATTGCCGCCGCGCCCGTCATCCGGATCAATCCGGGCTCCCCGCCAAACTGCGCATGCGCACACATGCGCAGTTCGGCTGTCGCGCTCTTTCTTTAGTGGCTTCCCCCCGGCATCTGATCATGCCAGGGAGGAAGTGCGCGGCGGCTCAGGGGATCTATGTGATCCCGCCACCGCATCTCTCTTTTGGTGCAGCTTTAGAAAGCCGCACTTTGCCCGTGCTATTCCCCCTCACCCCCGTGTGGCAGGGGCCTATTATGACACAAAGCATCACTTATGTTCGGTTTCCTACTGGACCCAGGAACCAACAAATCAACCGAAGGTCTCAGGTCCCAAAAGGGGGGATCCTGGATCATCCACAGATATGTACAGATGACCTTCTGTTTTATGCCCTGGGCTTTGCCCACGCATCGAGTTCCCAGCTATGAATATTTATGACTCTGCTAACCTGAAAGAACTGGCCTTTACTCTCCACTTTGGGAAACAAAAATGCTCAAGCAAGCCCCTCTCCCCATCCCCTGTGATTGTGGGCAGATCAGCCGTGAGAAAGAGCTGAGACTGTTATCAGGCACACAGGCTGGGGAAAGAGCTGATAAACAAAAGCAACAGGGATCATTTCCGCTCAGAATTAGTCCTCAAGCAAACTCACTACGATTTTATCTGGAAAGTTTCAACACAGGGAGCTGAATGAGCATTACTGCGTTACTTGTTTCCAGATACTTCTTGTTATCTCAGCAGGTTTTTTTCAAGCTGACCGTGTAACTTAGTCCAGGCCCTGCTTTCTCTGTTAACTTTTTATCGATTCATTAAAACATTTATAAACTTCCCACCTCCTCCTGGCAGACCCCACTTCCCACTGCCCCTCCGTCAGCTGGCAGGAGAAAAACTAACCGAAACATTCACATTGGCGCAATGTCACTTCTGGGGAAAACCTGGAAGTGACATCACACCTCTCTAGGAATTGCAAAGGTATTCTATGATTTTACCATACTGTTTCTGAGAGTGACATCCCACCATCCCACCAATAGCACCCCACCCCATGGCCACGCCCCCTGGTGTAATGTATTCATAAGCTGCCGTTGAATGCATTAGGAGTTGTGAAACATCTGATTGAAAAGCTATGTTAAGCTTCGTCCTGGGCTAGGATCCAAATCCATCCAATCACATTGCTAGCCCAGGAAGCACCTAGCCAATCACTTTACAGCAAGCTCCCTGAGCGGGAACGTCCGGGATTGGTCCTTATCTAAACAACCGTATTGGTTGGTATTTGTACAGTGGGTGTGGCTACATTAGCCGGGAGAGTTTAAAAGCAGGACTACTGCAATGTAAAAGTGTTGTTCTGGCTATCAGATGTTGATCCGTGTTGGAGTTGTGTTCGAGTGGAAGAATAAGGCTGTGTTCTTGCTGAATCACTCTCCGACTGCTTTGTTAAGCGAGCGACTTAACACCTGGCCTCCTCCAGGTGTCGGCCGCAGGCTGGGGACACTACCCACCATCAACAGTTGCTGGATGCCATTCAGAAAAGCCCACTGAGAAAGCAATAGAGATGCTAAAACCACAGAATGGCCCAGCTATACGAAACAGTGATTACAAACCACCCGTCTGCCCTCCACAGCATAAAAACCCAAAGGACAATTGAACACCATGGCCTTACGAGGTTTACAAAACCAGGCCAGTGAGTGAGGGCCTTCCTTACTTCTTCAGGGAGAGCGTTCTGAAGGCCTGGCAACAGAGGAGGAGGAGGAGGAGGAGGAGGAGGAGGAGAAGAAGAAGAAGAAGAAGAAGAAGAAGAAGAAGAAGAAGAAGAAGAAGAAGAAGGAGAAGGAGAAGGAGAAGGAGAAGGAGAAGGAGAAGGAGAAGGAGAAGGAGAAGGAGAAGGAGAAGGAGAAGGAGAAGGAGAAGGAGAAGGAGAAGGAGAAGGAGAAGGAGAAGGAGAAGGAGAAGGAGAAGGAGAAGGAGAAGGAGAAGGAGAAGGAGAAGGAGAAGGAGAAGGAGAAGGAGAAGGAGAAGGAGAAGGAGAAGGAGAAGGAGAAGGAGAAGGAGAAGGAGAAGGAGAAGGAGAAGGAGACCCCTCCCCACAACAGACACCCTGTGAGGTAGGTGGGGCTGAGAGAGCTCTTGACAGAAACTGCTCTTTTTCAAGAACAGCTCTTATCAGAACTATGGCTTGCCCAAGGTCATCCAGCCAGGTGCAAGTGGAGGAGTGGGGAATCAAACCCGGTTCTCCCAGATTAGAGTCCGCGCACTTAACCGCGACACCAAACAAGGCCAAGCAATGGTGGGCCAGATCAATTTTATACTAATACAACTATCACATTTTCCTCCAAATAATCCTGGGGGTTGTACTTTGGTGAAAGTGTTGAGAGATTTCTGTTCTCCATCTATAGCGTGTGCACATAGAGACAAACAGTGCCCAGAAGAAAAAGATCAGCTGAACTCTGTGGCATGACTGTGTTCATACTCTTACCGTCCGGTTAGTGCAAATGGGTGTAAAAGCATTTGTTCCACATGCAAAGAGCCGGTCCCCTCCAACAAGGAGAACACGAATATAATTCTGGCATTCTTCCTGCCATAGAGAGAGAAGACAAAAAGAAAACAAAATGCCACGTTAAAATCATCAGCTTTCACGAACAGGATACACGAAGCGAAATGTGATCTGCTCCACGGTACTGTCCTTCCAGTCCACTGTACGATTGCACATGAAAAATCAGGACAGACCATCTCAAATATATTTACTGGCCTGAGCAAACAGATTAAATGTATAACTAGTTGCTAGTGGCAGCGAAGGAATCTGTCAATCCTTCGGGTAATGTTTCCCCACATCAGTTTATATACCAGTTGTGCATCTACTAGACCAAGGCTCCGATCAGACACAGAAGTTGCCGCGGAAGCGGCACGAATGCCGGGCAGATTATAAGGGCATGATCACATAGCAACATCTGGCCAGTGTAGCGCACCCGTCGCAGCCGACCAAAGGTGTGGAGTAAAAAGCTACCTCCTAAAGTCCACTAGCAAACGGCTTGCGACGGGCCGCTGACTGACTGTCTTCGTGTGATCGCTCCAGCAATGCTCCTCTTGCGTCGTTGGAGCACTCCGGGAACATGCGTCGAGGAAGGAAACTGCTGTCCTGTCTGATCGCGTTTGCAGCGGGACACACTGTGCTGGTGCAAACAGCCACGCCTTCCCCCGCATTTCCCGGCAAGTGTGAATTGTGGCAGGGCGCATCACAGTAAAAACAAGAGTTTTGTCAGAAATAACCTTTTTGTCCCACTTACCATGTTCTCTACTTAATTTTCTGGGGGACTGCACCTTAAACTCCTCAAGCTCTTTAAATATTTACATTTTGGGGCTGTACTTTAGAATCCCCCATCCCTTCTTCCACACGCTTGTTCCCCAAAGGCTGACCATTCCCATGGGCCACATTAACTCAACCAACACAGGCCTGCCCCACTGTGAAAACGGTGCAAACTTTTCAAGACTGATGCATCCCATCTTTTTGCATTGTCTGCTGGAATTCTTCAACTCCACAAGGGTAATTACTAGAGGCAACAGACACACTCTACGGGACTTAACCCATGTAAAAGTGGTCATGCAGGCAGGAAAAAGATCCGCCCAGGAGATGCTGTGAGCATGATCTGGTTTTTCCCTTGCAACTTCCTTTGGGGTAGGTCCCCCTGAACTGACCAGAACTCTTTTCTAAGTACAAACATGAGAATGAGTTGGTAGTTCCAATTTCCCATGCAGACCTAGGCACATAACTCACCTTTGATTTGCCTTTACTGTAACATGCTTTCGTAGTAGCTTCATCACATTGCCATTCCACACCCTAAAGCAGGAAAAAAAACCCAAACATTATTACTGGGCAAAGACAAGTTAAAACCACAGGTTGTAGCAAAAACATCATGAAATCCCAATGAAATCAGAACACATTGGGTCTCGTTCCTAGTTTGAAATTGTTCATCTGTAAATGCTTTTCATGTTTTTCACATTACAATTAAGTATGACGGTATATGAGGTTTTTTATGGTTATTATTCACCACCATGAGAACTTGCAAAAGGCCATGAGCACCTGCAGCTCAAAAACAACCCCAAACGGGTAGCAGATTTGTGCTCAGAAACAAACTGGAACTTAATGCAGATAGGCCAAGACGTGAGTGATATTGTCCCTACAACCTACTCCAGTTAGCATCCGGACTGCAGCAGTGAACTTGGATCCAAGAGCACCCTCAGATTACAGACCTGTCCCTTCAGAAGGAGAGCGGGTCATGCCCGCCCACCCCCTTGCCTGCCGTTGTTAAAGGTTTACTTCAAAAACCATCTTTGGTCCTGCTTTGCACACGTCAGGAGATGACGAGGCTGAGTCACAGATTTCTGCAACTCAGGCTACTGTTGTTGTTTTTTAACTTTTTTTAAAAAAAATTCATTGAACATCACATCTTCACCGATTACATACATTTTTTAGTGTCTTTCAGTTCTCCATCTTATTGATCCAATTATAAACCCTTTTCCATCCATTACTTTGTACCGTATTATTTTTCCCTTGTAGTTTTAAACTCAAAGCATCCATTTGAGCAAGTCCTAGTAACCTTATGATTAGGTCTATTTTAGAGGGTAATTTTTCTAATTTCCAATATTTAGCCAACTGCATTCTGGCAGGCGTTAATATATATATTATTAGATACACATCTTTATATTTATATCCATCTGGTACAATATTTAACAAATATATTTCTGGTCTCAACTCAAGATTCAATTCTAAAATTTCTTGTATGAGTTTGCGTTTCATCATCCAATATTTTTAAACTTTCTTACATTTCCACCACATGTGGTAAAAGGTCCCCACATTCGATTTGCATTTCCAACATATATTGGATACATTGCTGTAACATTTAGCTAGTTTATCGGGGACCAATACCATCTGTGGAACATTTTATAAACATTCTCCTTATATGCTACCGCTCTCATATATTTTACTGGTTTCCATATTTTTGACCATTGTTCCGCCTCTAAAGTTTTCCCCAGATCTTTTGTCCATGATATCATAACTTCTTTAATATTTTCGTCTATTTCGAAATCATCCAGCAAGAAACCATATAGCTTCTGAATTAGTTTGTCGTTCGAAGACAACCAAATTTTATCAAGTTCATTTTTTCCATAGTCAAACCCTATGAGTTTGACTTTGACTTTGAGGGTTCAACTCAGGCTACTGTTGAAGGTTTATTTGCCTTTCCTGCAAGAGGTCTACACAGACCTCATCGGCTTTTGTTAAGTACTGTCTCAAGTTTCCATTCCCCTTTACAGAGCATCTTTCAGTTGTGTAGTGGTACAATGTTATTTTACTTATGAATCATAACATTCCAGCCACCAAAAGACATATGACACAGAGAGAGAGAGAGCAGGCGAGAGAGAGACTCATCCCACGCAGAATAGTGACATCACTCTACTTCAAAGGGTTCTTCCCCTTGATGAACGCAGGGATTAAGTGGGAGTCGAGGTCATCAGTTCTTTGTCTGCTGATGGACCAGTTTCCATGGAGACATCCCTGACAAGCCTTGCTGTCAGTTGAGACTCTGGCAAGACAGGGGAGAGACAAGCTTTTTTGCTTCCTAAGCATGATCTGCTAATCTGTACAATCTTTTAAAGTTTTTCACCTGACTAGTACAAACCCAGGGGAGCCCAGAGCAATCGGCTTTACAGGCGCATCAGAAACCCGAGGGCAGGCAATGCAATGAGAGCCAAAGTCATTCTGTTGTTAAATATTTATGTTGCCCTTTTAAAACAAGACCCAAAACTTGAGAATTAGGTGCTCCTGCATATTAGGGGGAGGAGCTATAGCTACCACAAATGAAGTCAACCCGTGAAACAGCTCAAAGACACACTCAACAATGAAACCCCATTTGCGTCATGACAATGTGGATAACTCCTGTCGTGCAGCCCTCTTGATACACATGCCCATAGGGTTGCCAGATCCAGGATGGAGAACTCCTGGATATTTGAGGATGGAACCTAGAGGGAACCGGGACCCCAATGGGGCACAATGTCACAGAGTCCACCTTCCAAAACAATTACTTTATGCAGGAAAATTGAGCCTCTTGCTCAGGGTAAAAGAGGAGAGCGCAAAAGTGGGCTTGAAGCTCAACATCAAAAAAACTAAGATCATGGCATCCGGCCCCATCACTCCTTGGCAAATAGAAGGGGAAGTCGTGGAAGTAGTGACAGACTTCATGTTCCTGGGATCCCAGATCACCGCAGACTGTGACAGCAACCATGAAATTAAAATACGCCTGCTCCTTGGGAGGAAAGCGATGGCGAATCTAAACAGCATGATAAAAAGTAGAGACATCACCCTGCCAACAAAAGTCCGCATGGTCAAAGCAATGGTATTCCCAGTAGTCATGTATGGCTGTGAGAGTTGGACTATAAGGAAGGCCGAGCGCCGAAGAATAGATTTTTTTGAACTATGGGGCTGGAGAAGACTCTTGAGAGTCCCTTGGACTGCAAGAAGATCAAATCAGTCCATCCTAAAAGAAATCAACCCTGACTGTTCCCTGGAAGGCCAGATGCTGAAGCTGAAGCTCAAATACTTTGGCCACCAAATGAGAAGGGAACACTCACTGGAGAAGACCCTGATGCTGGGAAAGACTGAAGGTCAAAGAAGACGGGGACGGCAAAGGAGGAGATGGTTAGACAGTGTCATAGATGCAACGAACATGAAATTGAGCCAACTTCAGAGGATGGCGGAAGACCGGAAGGCCTGGCATGATCTGGTCCACGGGGTCGCGAAGAGTCGGACTCGACTGTGCGACTGAACAACAACAAAAGTCTGGAGATAAACTGTAATACTGGGGGGGGGGTCTCCAGGTCCCACCTGGAGGCTGGCAACCCTACATGACAACCATTTTGTGTGAATATTGCATAGGGTTGCCAGTCTCCAGATAGTGGCTGGAGATCTCCTGGGATTACAACTGATCTTCAATTGACAAGGGATCAGTTCTCCTGTAGAAACTGGCCCCCTGACCTTGGAATGCGTAACCTGACTCTGAACAAGACTGCCAATCTCCCGTAACCCTTCGACTGTGCAAGTGACCTGATATTTTGGATAACAGGAGTGTGCCGCATGACGGAGTGAGCTCCCGTCTCTAGTTCCAGCTCCTGCCTACCTAGCAGTTCGAAAGCGAGAAATTGCAAGTAGATTGGGAAGGGAACAGTGTTCCATGCACCTTGGTGTTTAGTCATGCCGGCCACATGACCACGGAAACGTCTTCGGACAGCGCTGGCTCTTAGGCTTGGAAACGGAGATGAACACCGCAACCCTAGAGTCGGACTCGACTGGCTTTCGAGCAAGGGAACTTTTACCTTTTACCTTTGTTTCTCTGCCTATCTGGTGCTCTGACCTCAGCCTGTGTTTTTTGGATACTCTGCGCCTTGCCTAGCCCGCCCCGACAGGGCAATCGTGACAGCCGCTGTCCAGGCCTTCCCTCTGTAGCCACGCATGCAGAGTGGGCGTGGCCGACTCTGAAGCCGGCCGGAACGCCGTTCCTGTGCGTTCCTGCCCAAAAATACCCCTGCAAACCAGAATCAATCAGAGGCTTTCCGCATGGCTTTCCCTCCCGTGGTTTCTGGCCAGTGTTCCCTCTAAGGTGATTTAGTGTGAGCTAGCTCACGGTTTTTGAGCCTCTGCCTCACACATTTTTGCCTTTGCTCAGGAAGGATGGGCTCCAGAGCAAACTAATTCATGCCGTAGCCAAATCGCTTGCTCACAACTTTAATGCCAGTCGCTCACAAAATAGAATTTTTGCTCACAAGACTATACAGCTTAGAGGGAGCACTGGTTCTGGCCCCATACTACTTCCGTTTATCCCCTGACTTCTGCATGCATTTGTCAGGAGACGCTCACCCAGCCAACCCACCAGCCTGGGACTCCAGAGGACAGCGAGGAAGATGGTTGGGTCACTGACGCCGAGGACCAACACCCACCACAAGTCGAGGCACTAAAGGGGCGAGCCAGGGACCGGGTGCGCCTCCCAGCAGCGAAGGGACAACGGGAGGATCCAGTAGAGTCGGCGGCTCTCCAAAACGTGGTTCGCCGGCAACTCAAGGGGGAAGAACCAACAGGCTTGTCCCCAGGCCCCGACGCTGGAGTACTCGAGACGAAAAAGGATGGTTACCTGCTGGCAAATACCAGTGGCCGGCTGGCCGGCCCTTTAATTAATTTACTCTGGAGTGAAGCAGGTGTTAAAGGTAAAGGTTCCCATGCTCAAAAGCCAGTCTAATCCGACTCTAGGGTTGCAGTGCTCATCTCCGTTTCAAAGCCGAAGAGCCAGCGCTGTCCGAAGACGTTTCCGTGGTCATGTGACCGGCATGACTAAACACCAAGGTGCACGGAACGCTGTTCCCTTCCCACCGAAGTGGTCCCTATTTATCTACTTGCAATTTCTTGCTTTCGAACTGCTAGGTTGGCAGGAGCTGGAACTAGAGACGGGAGCTCACTCCGTCATGCGGCACCCGGGTCTTGAAGGCAGGTGTTAGAGGGGAATAAAGAGGAGGGCGATCTGCATACCCGGGGAGGATAGAGTCGAGGTCGGGGTTGTAAGCAGGGAACAAGCTGTGAAAGGGTTGCTCCCAAAGAAGTGCTAAGAGAGAGGGAGTCGACGGAACACTTGGCCTGCGAACCCGACCTCGACAGGGACCACCTTGTGAGGTAACACAGGTGAACCCGGGAGTCTGAAGGAATGTGCCACCAAGCCTTGATTTTTCCTGTGGGCACCCGCCCCACTATCCTCAACCCCTAAAAGCGAAGCGGACTCGCGGCAGCATTTTTGTGCC